TACCTTTCTTTGAAAGGCATAAAATCTTTCCTATGTCAAAAAGGGAGTGCACAGAGCTAGACGTTGTGGCACACGCCTGTAATTCCAGCACTCTGAGAGGCCCAGCCTGGGCAACTGTCTCAAAAAAAATAAAAGCTGGGGGTTATAGCTCAGTGCAAAGACCCTGGGTTCAATACCACAAAAAAAGGGATGGGGAGTATATAAAGCCCAGGATTACCTATCAGGAGCCCACAGGAGCCCACAGACAGGGTTGAGGAGACTCAGCTGGAGCTCACAGATATCAAGACTATAAACCATGGATCTAGAAATCCAGAATCTTGTGAAACTTAAAGACAAAAAAAGTTAAAACCCAACAGTTTTTTAAAAAATTATCTAGCTCTAATGTTTCCCTCATTTGTAAAAGACCTCTGTCTAACTGATCTCTGCCTGGATATGTCATCAGATGGGGGTGTGAGATAGAATCTACTCTATTTTTAAAGATCTCCAGGGAAGACAACGTCTAAGAAACTTGTGTTAAAGTACAATCATCTTTGTTAGTATGAATTTTTTATGTCCAACCTAATTTTTTACTTTTTATTTTTGTTTTTTTTTTGGGGGGGGGAGCGTACGGGGGATTGAACTCGGGATCTTGCACTTGCAAGGCAGGCGGCAGAACCACTGAGCTAAATTCCTGGCCCTACTTTTTCTTTTTTTAAGGCCATTTCTCTTTTTTTGGTCTTTGAAAAGAAAAAATATATATAGTAAGCACTGCTTTTAAATATATATGACAAATTTCCATGTCATTCTTTACTGTTTATGCCTCTAGGAAAAATTACCTCACTTCCTTCTTGTGCCAGATTTGACTTGTACCAAGAAGCAGAGACTATCATCAGCCAGGATTGCGAGATGTGGTGGCTGAAGAGACAGGAGCTCTGGGTAAGAGGCCATGAAATCCTGTCTTGAGACCCATAGCCAAGTTGACAAAGGACACCATGGGTGCTGTTTGTGACGAGTCTGAGGCAATCTTCCAGTCTGAGCCACTGTCCCTCTCCACAGGACTTCTCCAAGAGGCCTGCCTCTGCTGGTGTCCATGGGATATGGCACCTTCCACATAGTCTCTGTCGCCTTGATCTACCAGGGAGCCCAATCTTATGAATGGCTTGGGTTTGTGTATCCAGATAAAGCACAAATCAATTATTGCAATTAATCAAAATTACCCTAAAAAAAAACCAAAACTTCCTCACCAAATTCAACTGTTTCTTCAGCAGTGCTTTTGGCTCAGGTCAGCATCCTTGAGACAGAAAGACTAGATAATTTCTTGGTGGTGGTAAAGAAGTCACCGATCACAATTAACAGCTTTTAGTTTTCTAAGTCTGGGTTTGTTTGGTAGACTTTTCATTCAAAATAGGTCCCAGGTATGAAACAGTTGGAAACCACTGACTAGAACATATGAGATAGATCAAAAATAGACAACAGTATTTTAACTAATCCTGGATCAAACCTATCTCATTGTGCCATCTCATGCATAATAAGTGGTCCGCAACAGTCTAGTGAATGACTACCGGTGATGAGAGGACTACAGTGATGGCTGGCTGAGCTGAGTACAGCAGAGGAGCATTGAGATGGTGGCACTGGGGTTCTAAAAGAGAACCAAAGTCTTCACTCATTACATTCCTAAAGTATTACTGAGTACCTACTGTGTGCCAGCAAGTTTTCTATAGCCTCCTGGACCTATGCTTTCCAATTGCCCTTATATCTTATATAAGGGAAGGACAAGGCTGAAGTGGCCTTTTCCAACAACCTGACAGATGTGCACTTCTGAGGACAGAATACATTTCCTATTTATGGCACTGTCCTCAGTTCCTGGGACAGTGCATTGCACACAGCAAGTGCTCCTCACTACTGAATGAAGGTAAGAGTACTCAACTATGATCTCAGAACATTTAACAGAATTTCCTTCTCTATACTCCTCCACCCCCTTTTTTCTGGGTCACTCCACCAAAGATCAGACAAAATCTCTGTTAGAGTGATCATTCTCAAGGTATTGCTACCTAATCTTTCAGAAGCTTCTTTGACATCTGGCCTTTTTGCCCCAGAAAAAAGTATCTGTTCAATACAGCCGTGGCTATTCTCTCAACCAGGACAAATCCCTACCCAGCTCTTTGATGTCATGTTTTCCAGCTTGCCCAAATCCTTAGTTTCAAGAGATATAATTTCCTACCATTACTAAATCTTTTATCTCTTTGGGAATTCCTAATCAAAGAGAGACAACCTAAGGGCCTATGACAAAAGGGGTCTGGTGACAAGTCAGTTGCACACACAGGAACCTGGTAATGTTTCCATTGTTGAGAGCTGCTAGGTCCACCCCAGCCCATCCATATTAATGACTGTGTTGCTGAGTCACTGTCCAGCCACCAACCCAGGGGACCACCCCAGATATCAGGCCCTGGATATAGGACAAGTAGCTTTTTGAAGCATTATAGCTAAGCTATAATTTCACTAATAATGTAAACTCTCAGGGAACAGGATTAAAATACCATCTGGATAGACTCTAGGGATACAGCCAGCAAGGAGTGAGACAACACCACAAAACACAAGATTACAGGGAAGCAAATAAATGGGAGACAGCCTTTAGCCACCAGAAAAACCCCAAGATAAAAAAGAAAATAAGAGCACCAATACAAAAGGAGGCACAAAATTTTCCTTTAGTTACCTTCAGATTTAGGACTAGGAGTAGATGCAGGAAACTGGTATGTAGGAGTATAAGGATTGTCCTCTGTAGCAGAAAAAGTAGTGGATTGTGAAACTACCCACCATGAAGTGTAGGACCTGACAATTCCCAGTTGACTCTTTTGAATGATTACCTATTTTAGTGTTATTAAAGCACACAGGCATCACACTCAAAAATAGATTAATAAATTAGAAAGGACTTAGTTGTTTTAATATAGCACATCATGCAAAGGAATGAAATAAAATGTTCACTAACCAAAAACAACTATATAAAAAGTTAAAAGCCAAATCTTATGCCTATAATGGAACTCTAAGAACTAATTTAAGGTTAGGACAACAGATATACCGTCTAAATTTATGGTACCTTCAGAATTTTGCTGGATTTCAGGAAGTTCAGGGAATTTGTACGTAGGGAAATAAGGGTTTTCTTCAGGAGTGTCTAGGCAGAGGAGCAGGTTTGGAAGAGAGAATAGAGGAAGATACAAATGGAGAGAATGAATGAGAAGGAATCCACATACAATTTAGACTCCTTGAATTCGGGAACATAGTAAGCTTCACTAGATATGAAAGAAATTCAAATTGCTTTTAAAAATGCAGTCCTTTTGCCTGAATAACTGAGACATATTGAAAGAGACAATATCATTACGTTTCTTGGACAAAGAATTACATATAAACAGGCTCCAGAATGGGCACAAACCTTCAGGTTTTCACTTTTTATAGGCTAGAGATATTAAGTAGGATAATAAGCACTATGTAAAGAAAACACTATCCTAAAATAATTTTTTTCAGTCAAAGCTTGTGTTGTGTTGAATCAAGCAAACAAGTGGAGTCTTAACCTCTCAAATACTACTGTCTCCCATTAAAACAGGTAGTTTTGTTTAGAATCTGTAATTCAGTTGTGTTAATTATAATTCTGCTTGTGGGGCAGAATTATATATTTTGCACATATGCATGCACTTGTGCATTTAGCCTTCCAAAGCTTAAAAAAAAAAAAGCATTTGTGTGCATATGCATTTAGCCTTCTAAAACTAAGTCTGAAGGTGAGAGAGGCACGGATTTCTAGAGGAAACACAGTCACTTTAGGAAGAGATCAGTGGAACTGCCCCAATCCAATCAGAGATCCAGAATGTAGCATCACTATTATGACTGAGCTCATCCACACAACCATAACAGATTTACACTTGCCTCAGAACTGCTAAATACTGAGCATCTCAATATTTAGAAATAGTTTGAAGAGGGACACGCTCTGGCTCATTCTGAACCCAGCAGGAGCTACTTAGCAGTGATACTAGTTGGCACCTGCAACTAATCAGAGAGATTGGATACTTGTGGTTTAGGTGGGAACACTGACTGGAACAAACTTTCTTTACCTTCATGTGTCATCCATGCCAGGCAGCCAGACTGGATTTGGGCACGGGAAAGGATAGGATGCTCTGCCTGCAGGAAAAGTGGTACCTTTCCCACAGTGTAGCAACATCCCTGCCTATCAGCTGACTGGTAGCATAGGTAGCAATGGGAGCTGGTGAGGTTGTGACCTGCTCCAGCACTAGCCTAGGGCTCTCCCACCATGCTGGGCCACCTGCTGACAGCCCAGCAGCCCTCTATCTGGAAGCACCTCTTTCAACTTGAGCAGGCTCTACTGTGTCAGCTCTTGACTGATTCTCAGGGCTATTTGCCAAGTGCTAGTTCCCAGGGGGCAAAATTAGTTTTCATGTTAACATAGTCTTAGAGGTGTACTATACACTCTATTTCACAAGGCCAAATGTGTTCTCATATGGACTCTGTAACAACCTTTGGATGAAGGGAAGGAAGATAAACAGAAAGATACATGACTGACCGAAGGTCATGTGAGTCCTTGGCAGGGGCTGAATCTATGTGAAAACAGTTTTCTTGACTTCCAGCTCAGGGCTTTCTCAACTTACTTGGTTCGCAAGGCAGTCATGGGCTGACACAGGATGTATCTAAAGCTGGAAGCAGGTGGGAGATGGAGCTGCTCACATCTCAGGCAGATAGGTACTAGAGCACAGGTAGAGTGCTAGGCTCAGCCTACTGCATTATGCAAGAGCTGGGAGGGAGAACTTGTGAGCTGACCTCCAGTTACAAAGCAAAGGCAGGCGCACAGGTGCATCACCCCTCCTGGGTCTGAAGGCACATGGATGGGCTCAAGCAGATCAGTACCTAATGGGATCCCAATGCAGGACCCCATCTCCTGGAGTCTAAACAAAATGACTTCAGGCCTACACCAACAGTTGATATATAGGCACTTAGCTCTGACACGGGAAAATCAGTACCTCTGTTCAGTTTGTGGATCTGTCTAAACATGGTCTTGTACCAGTCTTTTGATCTCTCGGTATTCTGGAGAAAAAGGTAAAATAAAATGAAGATTTTAGCATATTTCAGAATTTCTATGACTACAACATCAAAATCAAACAGGGAAATCACAACATTTTAAGTCAAAACTCAGCCACATTTGTTAAAGATAACAATTTGGAGAAAGAACAAAGAGTCAGAATTTACAGAATGACATTTGGCCAAAAAGACATATTTCTTGAAAAAAAGTGGGCAAAGACAGGCTTGAATTGTGTATTACTAATTACTAATTACTAATTAGTAAAAAATTACTAATTTTTTAAATTTCTTTTTTAGAGAGAATTTCTCCCACAGGGGGACTACCCAAAATTGAAGTAAAGACACTGAGATACACAAAGCAAAGAATACTTGTTTATCACATTGGGCCGCCAGCCGTTCTGGGTTATTCTGTAGACATGTATCTAAGTCACCTTGCACAGGCCAGATTTAGAATGCATACATTAAAATGTAACCCATTATAGTATCCAATGCCAGAGTTTCATCCTCACACAAAGCTGGGTGGGGTTTTTTTTCCTCTTTATTTTTAAGATAAAAATAAATCAAGGAAGGTGACAAAGAGATGGTTAGATCAAATATTTTCACTCCTACTTTGCAGATGAGGATAAGAGATAGGAAAAGTCAAAGTGAATTTCCCAAGGTCACAGAGATGGGGCAAAAGTGATGGTTAGGGGTATGACTTTGGGAGTTGGCAGAACACTATCACTCACAGTTGTGCAATTTCGGGAGATTAACATAATCCCTCAGAGTCTCTGTTTCCTCACTGGTATGGTTTGGATGAATGTCCCCCAGACATCCATATTTAAAGGTCTGGTTTCTACAGTGGCAGTATTGGGAGGTTCTGTGGACCTTTAGAAGGTGGGGGCTAGTGGGAGGTTCTTAAGTCACTGGGGACATGCCTTCAAAAAGGATAGGAGGACCCCACATGTCCTTTCGGTTTCCTAACTCATAATGTGAGCACAACTCTGATATACCCTTCTGCCATGATGTGCCACTCTCACCAGAGCCCCAAATCAAGGAAGCACTCAATTTTTGTCTTGAACTTCCAGAACCACAAGTCAAAATAAACCTATCTTTACTTTATAAGTTTACTATTTCATTATAGTAATGCAAAACTGACTAATACAGGAATCTATAAAATGGAAACACTTTTAGTATCCACTACTCACTCCAGTGAATGAGGTCTAAATGAGATAATGTACTCAGCAAATGATAGCTGTGATTGCCTTGGGAATAATTTGCTTTCCATATTATTACTTAGGACCAGGGTAGAGTTCTTTTGAAGCTTAGCTCATGGAAGTTTCTTTTGGCTTCTTCCAAAAAGACACAAAAGAAGTTCCTTTTTCCAGATTGATATTACAGAGGGACATAGTGCAGATTGACAGACACATGGAGAGCAATTCACTTGAGTCTAGTTTCAAAAGGCAGGTTGTCCTGCATTCCTTAGGGTGTAAAGGAGGACTGGCATGCCTGACCAGCAGGAAGAGCAAGGTATGGTTGCCACGAGACCTGCTCCATCCTACAGGCCTTCGTGGGCCAAATCTGTTCCATGATTCCCCTAGCATTTCCTGTCATTTTGAACAATGTAGTTCCTATCCAGGGGGATCTTCTTCCTAAACTCATAAACAAGGATCCTGGACCTCACACTCCTCAGGGTGCTCTAGCTCTGGAGCAAGAATTTCTGAACAGGCTCCACAGAACAATAACAAAGGAAGACTTCCCATGGCATTTTCCCCTGAATAGTCACAAGCCCAGAGACTCTCAGACATTCTACTGGAGAGAAATCTCTGACTCTGTTCCACCCAGATATTCTTCCTTTCCATTTCACCATGAAGTTCATTTTTCCATGAGACTAATTAACACCCCACACCCACTTTGGAAAAAGCTGTTGTGTGCCAAGTCTGGAACACAGCTTCTTGGGGGGTCTGGTACTTAGGGTCTGATGCCTGTGCAAGGACCACCCTTAAGGCCTCTATGACCCACAGATGGGGTTCACATGCACTCAGAGTTGTACCCTTGTCATGACTTGCTTAAGCTGAAATGTAAGAAGGACGTTTTATGTCAGTAGTCATACCCGGAGTGGAATGCCCACTTCATCCATGGACACATCGCTTAGGTCCTGCGTGCTTTTAACCACCCGCCTACTGTCATCTTTTGCTCTCTTTTCAGCAGTCCTGCTGGGTGATGTGGGTTTTTCCTGGGTTGGGGATGAGTCCTCACCCACTCTTCTTTCTGAGACAGGATCTGGAAATGAAAAGCACTTGTTATCTGAAACACTTCTAATAGCTCCAAAGCAAAACACTCCCAAACGGTCCAGCTAGGGGAAAGTGTGTTTGCTAACTCCCAAATGGAATTAGTGTCACTTAAGGCAGAGATCAGCAAAGTACAGCCCATGGGTTGGCCACTTGTTTTTGTAATTGAAGTTTAATTGGAACACAGCCATGCCATTATTTATGGATGATTTTGTGCTACCATGGCTAAACTGAGTAGCTATGACTATACTGCCTGCAAAACCTAAAATATTTATTATCTGGCCCTTTAAAAATATTTCCCAACAATGTGTTTTGCAGAGATATATACACTGTGCTCTGGATATTCAAGTAGTCCTGACAATTCTAGAAATTAAAGGAGCAGGTAAGACCACAAAGAGGTGGCTAAAAACTACTGAAAAGTTTGTGTTTCATCTTAAGGAAATCACTTAATTTTTCTCACCTAAAAATGGGTATAACATTTCCACTGACAAGCTCTCAGCAATATTATAATAGAGCTTATTAAAATAACTTTAGCCAAAGTACTCACGAAGCTGTACAGTGCTAGGTGCTCCTAGTTTATTTAATTTGGTTCAACATCAAAAGTTACAGAGACCTAATAAACATACAGGGTGGTCTGCAGATCATACAATTATTTATTATACTCTATTATTCCAAGCCATGTCATTCATTTACTAGGCACCAGCCTGGCACTCTGAACTGTGCTCTCCTGGGGACAAAAGGGTGAACATCTCAGAATTCTTGAACTTCAGGGAGTTTAAATTCTAGTGGGCAGAAAGCACTAGTGAGCCAACACTGAGAATGTAGGAGGATAGGGTCTGAAGAGGAGTCAGCACTCAACTCAGCTAAGAAATTTAGGTTCAGGGCCAATTCGTCTGAGAAAGTGACCAGATGAATAGGAATTAGAAGGTGCTCTGACAGAAGGAACCACAATAAGCAAATGGTCAGGTGCCTTTGAACTACTCTGAGCTTACAATGTGCTGGGTACTGCACTAAACTCTCCATATAGATTGCCTCATTTCATGCTCTCAATAACTTTATGAGGAAGGAACTATTATCACCTATTATGGTTTGTGTTTAGATGTCCCCCCAAAGCCTCATGCGGATGAGGTGGGACTTTATTTTTCAGAGGTAATCAATCTGAAATGTGTGATGCTGGGAATAAGGGAGTGGGATTACTAAACCACTACATGTGAGTGATTAGTCTGGCATCGCCCTAATCCCAGTAGTCTGAAAAAGATAAAAGGAGCGGAAGGATACTGTTAAACTCTCTTGTTGCTTTTGCTACCTTGTGTGTGCCATCTTGTTTCTCCTCTGTGAAGTCTGTTTCCCTTCCCTGCCTTGGAGCCAGCCAATCATGGACTGAAACCTCTATGAACTGTAAGCCAAATAAACCCCTTCCCCTCTAACTTTGGGTGTTGGGTATTTTGTCTCAGCAATGAGAGAAAAATAACTAACACATCACCCTTCCATTTCTTTTTAAAATGGTTAAGTGGACCAACACATGAGATGTTAAAATACCTTGCTTAAAGTCATGCAGCAAGCACATGGACAGGCTGGGACATGGCCTAGTGTCCACCTGACTACTCTCTGAACCATGTTCTGACTCACCTCCCTCAAAGATGGCACCAAGGTTTCCAGGCTCGGAACCCAGCCAATTGCACATTGATTAGGAAAGGGAACTGAGTTGGAGAAGTCAGGGAGAGGTGGCTGTTTCCAATTGAACCACAGTAACTTTGAGAAGACAATGAAACCCTCAGGTAGAAACATCCTAGAGACCCTAGGAAAAATATGGAGGGAGGCTAGTTGAGATACCTTGGCAGGAGTGAAATTTTGTAGTCATCAGCACAAAAGTGATGGCAAATGTGAAGGCCATGTCAGAATTCACGGGGTGGAGGGAGGTGAGAACAGAGGGCAGGCTGAAGACAGGCACTGAGAGATGTCACAGATACAGGCTGAAAAGAATTTGTAACCAATGTGGGAGTTGTCCAAGGGATTAACAAAGCAACCAGGAAGTACAACAAGGTGCCATGAAAGCAGACAAGACAGAATTCCAAGATGTAGGTGGTTGAACATGTCAAAAAAAAAAAAAAACCCCACCCAAAAATGGAAGCAGAAGAGGAGGCATTAGATTAGGCAAGAGGAAAGTTGTAGGAACACTCAGAACAAACAGTTTCAGGAAGACAGTTGCCAGATAGCAGGAAAAGGGGTAAAGGTATAAACAGAAAGTAGGGATTAAATTCAGCACAGAGGAAAGAGTATTCAGATAACTGTAGAGGTCCAAAAGGTTTAAGCCTGGGGAGACCAAAGTCCTATCAGTAAAGCTCATGAAGAGAGAATGAAGGACATAAAGGTATGCTGGCAATTAGTTAAGTGCTCATTGATTGGAGAGGTGCAAAGCACAGGCTGGGGGGCTATACAAGTGGTACCTCCATTCATGAACTTAATTCTTTCCATGATTCTGGTAAAAAACAGAATTGGACAAGAAACAAATCAAATTCTATGGTTAGGTTCAACATTGACTTTATAGGGAAATTTGATTTGTTTCTCCTCAAATTCAACCTGTGACCAGAATCATGGAAAGAATTAAGTTTGTGAACTGAGGTACCACTGTACTTTGGCAAAAAAGAGAAGGACCTGAGAGTCCATGCAAAGTTGTGGCAGAGTCAAATGTGTATGGATGGGAGGCTGAGGAAATTGGGGAACAGTGAAGTCTTCATGCTCAGGTTTTACTATTTTCAGTTTTCTCAACAGAGTGGCTGCCTGCTGCGCAAGCGCAAGGACCCCAGATTGATCCCCAGTACCAAAACAAAAAACAAAAAAAAACAACAAAAAAACCAGAGTGGTACTTGCCCTGATTTCAGACAAACTCTTGAAACTTTTGCTCCATCTGGGCATGTGGGCAGAATGATTTCTAAATATTCTATGTGCAATTAAGTGAGTGCTTCAGAAAACCTGATTCCTGGCACCATAACCATATACTTTAATGGTTTTAGATCAGGCTGGCTTTATAGAATAAGTTCTCATGCTCCTAGGAAATTCCAATATGAGGACATGTATTTGGCAGGAATCCTGGAAGTACATGGGTATTCTGAGTCTACCCTTAATTTGGGTCTCTGAGCACTCTCCTGCCACTTGGAAAAGCTTCCCTAAGTGAGACCAAGAAGGGGCCAACTAGCTGGTTCCAAACTCTACCTTACCTGCTATGTGAAGGTACTCATTACTCTCATGCTTAAGATGATGAGACCATAGACATGAATTTTCAAGGGTTTCTAGACCTACAATAATTCTTTTTTATTTGTTTGTTTGTTTGTTTGGGTACCAGGGATCAAACTCAGGTACTTGCGTTTGTGAGGCAGGCAGCCTAAACACTGAGCTAAATCCCCGGCCCTTAGACCTACAATAATTCTTTTTTTTCAAAAAAAAAAAAAAAAAAAAGAATATTGTTAGGGCAGATGGTTCCAACAATAATCATTTAACTGTAAATCTCAGGCTAATGGTTCATGGATTTGCCAGAGTCCTTGTGATCTATAAAAATTAGCCCTGAATGATTTTACTTCCAAAGCTTGTTATTTTGTGATTCCTGACTGAGTGGATTTTGATATATGGAGGAATGAACTACAGACCTTGAATAAAAAGTGTTACTTTATACAATGAAAACTTAAACCCAAAGTGACAATTGTCACATGCAGGTGACAGCCACCCTTTGACATGCGTGTGACAATGAAAGCTTGCTCTTACTTACTAGGCAGATAATAATCCTGCATATGATGGGGCACTTCTTTCTAGTATTATACTGTGCTTTTTTAAAAAATAGTATTGGGGGCCAGGGATTTAGCTCAGTGGTTTCACCACCTGCTGCACAAGCTCAAGGACCAGAGTTCGATCCCCGGTAACAAAAAAAAAAAAAAGGAGTCTTGGACCACTAAATAAATGATGATGTTGACAACTTCAGACAGGACCTTCATTTGTGGGAGTCAAGATGAATTTTCTTTACCCCAAAGCTTTGTGACTGAGGTTGAAAGCAATGTTCACACTTCCCTAGAGAAGGATGTTGGCCTCCCTACACTCTGTGCCAGTCCCTCATCCCAGCCCTTATCTTGTTTCCCTATCTTCTAAGTCTTTCCTGTCTTCTCAGGGGACTATGTGCTACACAGGTCAAAACTGTGTAGGTTACGTTTCCAGGTGACTGTCTTTGAGCATCAAGACCCGCAAACACTCAAGAAGGCTCTGCTAAAGGGAGGGAGGCTGGTGGTCCTTGAGTCCCATTCCCCAGGTAAGCCTCATTTGCTCCAAGGCAGAGAGTCTGGGAAACGCCAGCCCAGCCAGGTCTCTCTCTTCCAGGAGCTCCTGAACAAAATGTTACTTCCATTTAAACAAAAACCTAGTAATTTAGTGAGCTCCTGTTCTAGGTCCCAGTCTATCAAATATCATTACTGGATCTGTTCCAAAACCCAAGGAAGGTGATAGCATCAGGCTTGTTTGAGAGCTGAGCCTGCCAGCATGGTGGAGAAGCCCTCACATGAATGTGGCCTCTCCAGTGTACAAAGGATCCTCCTACTTCTGTCCCACATAACAGCTCCTTCAGGCAGGGGCAAGTATTATCATCCCCATTTCCTACATAAGGAAACTGAAGCCAAAGAGGTGAAGTCACTTGCCCAGTGACAAAGAGCTCTGAGAAGGGAAAGCCAGGACCAACTCTGGCTCTCCTAATATGTGGCTAGTTGCTTTTTTTCGTCCATTCCACTACTCTTTTCAAAATCCCACAGACAGAAAGGAGTCCACAGAAGCTACTTTTTACTTGCCCCCCCGCCCGCCCCGAGCCACTGTTCTCAGCAACCTGAGCTATGGCCAGGGAATTAAGTGCACTGTAGTGTGGCAGCTTAAGGAGGGCAGTGAAGGGCACCTTGAACTCAACCACAGCTTGTTCTGGTCCTGTGGCCAAATCCTGATAAAGCCAAGAGTGTGAGAACCCCATGTCCTCCCTACCCAAGCTCTGTACAAATCACAAGAACAGCAGAGGGATAAAGTCATGCAGAAATCATGTAGCAGCTGGTCAGAAATGGTAGCTCCAGTTATTTGCCAGATTAAGGGTTCTTAACTCTGAAGTTTATGAGTATTTGCAAGTCCATGGAACTCATGTATATATGTTTGCATACATATGGCTTTTCTGGAGAATGAATCTACTGCCTTCATTAGATTATCCCAAGAAGTACATAACCAAAGAAAGATGACAAAACATCACACCACACCATTAGCTAACCATGGGCAGCACAGTTCCCCAACTCAGCCCCAGAGCCTGGCTCTGTGCCTGAAACAAAGGAGGCACTCAATAAAATAACTAGTGAAATCAATGGAGGCACCTGGTATTAACAATAATTCACAACCAGTAAGCACTCAGCAAGGGCCAAGCCCAAGCACTCAGTTGTTTGTAAGCAGAATCTCCTTTGATCTTCAAGCAGAATGGCTACAGGAAATGGCTAAATACCCCTCTATTCCTGGGATTCCTCAAAAATTCAGCCAGCACATCTGTCCCTCTCCATTCTGACACTGTTGCAACCTGCACACTTCCTTAGGGAATGAGCCCTGATATCTGATTGCATTTCCATTCACTCCTCACCATCATGGGCCTTGATAATCCACTTATTGCCCAAAGTCCTGTCACCAGAGAAGATGGGATTAACACCACCTGGTTAAAAATGCAAATTCTCTTCTGTACTCATTAAACTTGGACCTCTGCAGGGAAGGCCCAAGAGTCTGAGCTTTGACAAAATCTCCAGGAGATCTTGATGCCAGCTCAAATTCAAGAAGCAGTTTCAGGCACTGCTGATCTGAAGACTCTCACATCGACCCACCTTCCCAGGGTTGTCTCCTGGCATCTGGGCTTGCCACCCAAAACAAACTTGCTCACATTTCCCAACTCCAGACTTCTCCCTTCCTAGGTCAGACACTGAAGCAACAAAAAGGTAACCTCTTCAGAGGCCTACTCTGATCACTGTCTTTAAGGCAGAGCCCTTTGTGCCCTTCAGCCAGCACATCCTATTCTTACCAATAAGACACTCGTCACAGCTCCATGGGACACGAATACTATTTTGGTTTACTAGCCCCAAGCTCCAGAAGGTGGAAACTATGCCTACTTTCATGTTTTTTATCCAGCAACAAACAGAGATGCCGACACATACAGGAGCTCAGCAGTTTGTGCTGATTGCACACTGGCTGGTGACTGAAAGCCAGCTTTAACAGAAACAAGGGTTAATGTGTAAATAAATATATTTCTCACTTACCTGAAAGGTTACTGAGTCGTTTTTGCTGTTCTGTGATAAAAAAAAAGAAGATACAGGATAAGTGACATTTATTCAGCACATGGTAAGACAAAGAAGTCCTGGCACAGCTTCTGTAGTTAGGTCCTAGACTTTGCAATTTCACTGTTCTCTGGGCTTGGATGCTAAAATGCACAGCCTAGCTAGAGTCAGGTAGTGATGTGGCTTCCAAACCCCCTCAAAATCCCATTCCCCAGGTCTGCATCAAGACTTGGTCCAGCCTCTGTTTTCTAGCAGTTTACATCTTGTCTCAAGATGATCTCATTACTGAAGGAGATCCTCCCAACTCCTCTGGTTTTACATAACAGGACTTCATATGATTCCCAGGCTTGGAGCCTTTTGAGGGAAATGTGATTAGAATCATAAGCATGGCAGCTATCAACTCCTGAGAACCTGCTAAATGCCAGGCTCCGTTTTAAGAGATCTTATACATAACACCTGAAATCTTGGCAACAACTCTAGCAGTTAGGTATGATTATTTTTTTCATTGTCCTGCCTTAGTCCCTGTAACCAATCTGGCTGGGTCCAGAGTACATGAGAAATCCTAAAACAATCAGCATTTACCAAGAGACCTCTGATAACGGGCCCAAATTACCAAATATAGCACTGAAAGTTATCTCAAACTAGAACCTAGATCTCTAACTCCTAGTCCCTGGTTCTTTCCAACTTAGTCACCAAGCCCCTGCTGCCCTCCCCCAATACTGAAGGTCTACTGGTTTCTCATCTTTCTGGGCAATCACATGGAGGGGAAGCCAACATCTCCTTTGGAGAGTCCTGTATGTACTTGCTATTTGATAAACACAAAAATGACCTTTACCTTCCACAGCTGCTAAATATAAAAGAGCCACTTAGATAAAAATAGAACATTTGCCAGCCCTTGGGTGCTGTCACCATCCCTCTTGGCCACATTCCCATCCTCCAGCTAGAATCAGTGTGAACAAGAAGTAAACAGAGCAGCAAGGGAGCTCAAGGATAGTGGAATTGGTATGTCCACATCTGATGTGTAGATGGGGTTTGCACTGGCTGGACAAACAGAAGCCCAGTGCAGCACCAGGCTAGGCTCTGCCAACAAGTTACCAGATAACAATGGCCAACCACATAACCTCTTACCCACAGTTGCCTTGCTTGTAACATCAAGGTATTCAAGGATATATGGTTGCCAAACTCTCTTCTACAGGGTGGCGGCACTCCCCAGCCAAAAGAAGTAAAGGCATGCAATTTGAAAGACTGTGATGTGAAATGGCTTGTCTTTTATAGGATGTCACACACATAATAGTGGCTGTTTTTTAATGGTGTTACATTGCAAAGGGAGAAGTTAGCCACAATAGGGTGATCGCTAGACTATTTCATATGCCCACAGATATGTCTTGGAATCTCTAAACTTTTGCTCTCCAGTGTGGTCCATGGCCAAAAGCACTGGCATGCTGGCAAGCTTTCTGAAAATGCAGACTCTCAACCTCCTCTCCTTCTCAGAGCTCCTGAATCTGAAACTGCAAGTTAACAAGACTTCCTGAGTCCAAAACATAATAAAAATTGAGAAACCCTGAGCAAAGGGACACATGCATTTCTGTCAGTCCTGAGAGTTTCTTGGTTCAAATCCTCCTTCCAAGACTGATGGGAAGTAACTTACTTTCTAGCACATGAGATATGAAAACTGAAGAAGGGAAAGGAACTGTGTTGCTCACAACTACCAATGCTAAGACCAGAAGCTCAGTGCCCCTCTGTTCCTAGTAGGGGAAGGGTGGTTTGGAGAGATGGGATTATTGACCTATGCCCTGGGTCAATCTAAGCAGGAAAAAGGTGAACTTTGTTAGGATGGCTAAAGCAAAATTCCAAAACTAGAGTAAAGTTTTTACTGGGAGACTGTGCAATAGTTACACTGTCTTTATGGGTACTGTCTGAATTTCTGGCAGAGTTGCCAGGTTGGGTAATTTCCAAAGCAGTGCCAAAAACACTTGACCTTAACCCCATTTATGCTTAATACATAATCATAGAGGATTGGGCTGGCCAGTTTCTTTCATTCTTTTCAACTCTTCCTGCCCCATCTGCTACTAAGCATATGGTTTTACTCTTTATGAGAACTACCATTTAATTCTAAAAAACTAATATCATTATTTGTGTCCTTTTCTAAAGGATGTGTGTCTTAAGATGTATAATTATGAGTTTTAAACCTAATGGCAGGACTTGGCCAGAAGAGAAAGCAAGAACCAAAGGTATCTGAGTAAATCAGAGAAACTCATTTGTTCAAGAAATAAGCAAAGAGGAACTACAAGTATATCTGTGTCCAAAGACATCTCACTAGGTGTCATCAGAGAGACTTGGCAAAAGCAGCTGACACTGGCATTTCTGAAGAACCGAGTTGCTTTGTGAATAAATCCCATTTTTAAAGAAACTGCCTTTCATTCTGGGAACTAACTTGCTTGACTAGATTTTTCTTGAGTCATAAAGAAGTTCACAGAGAACCAAAATTTTACTTTGTCCTGCATTACAGACACTTTTTGGGCAAGTAGAGTTATTGCCAGTAAAGGGGTGGCACAGATGAAAGGAGAAGGGGCTTGTACAAAGTTCAGTGTGGAGGCTGGGACCTGTTTTGCTTTTGAAGTACACAGACTCATGAGGGAAAATGAATATGAAAGCCACACATGAAGCAAAAAATAAAACCACTAAAAAGACTATTTAAGATTTGAGTGGGAATATTTTAAGTGAGAGAAAATGTTTCATGCATCTTCTTTTCAAGTTAGAAGCAGGAAACAGAAGACTATTTAGTATGAACAACAATTAAAAATAGACTCCAGTCTCATTCTCATCCAAGTTGATGCAGAAGGGAGGGGCAAGAGAGGGGAGGAAATGAAGAAGCAGGCAAAAAGGGAGTCAAGAAAGGGAAGATTTGGAACCACGCTGTAAGCCTAAACAGAATAAGTAAATCTTCACTGTTCTTTGAAATTCATACTAAAAAGCTCTCTTCTACATTGGAAAACAGCCTGAAAACTTTCCATTTCATGCTGCAAAGGACTTTTGTAAAAGGAGAGTATATTCCTCTGTGGAATTCCAAAAAGGAAAACTTGGGATTTAGAATCATCACCTGGGATTTTAAAGCAGAAGGGTCAACATATATAATTAACTCAAACTCAAGGCCCCTTTGGGAATGAAGCAGAACCAACCAGAACAGTTGCAGAAACTGCAAAAACAAAACAACAAAACCCTAAACAGAGGGCCAGGGATTTAGCTCAGTGGTTCTGCCACCTGCCTCAAAAGCGCAAGGACCAGAGTTCGATCCCTGGTACAAAAAAAAACCCTAAGCAGAGCTGTCTGACTGCCTGGTGCAGGACCAAACACCCACATGAACATCAGTCCCAAAAGGCAACACTGACCAACAGCCTAGAGCAGTAACCACTGGGAGAAGAGGGCCAGAGTTACTAAAAAGGAATTTGGTAGCCTGTTTTAGAGGTATGAAAGCATGTTTTATATTTTAGAAAGTTTTCTATCCAATATATTTTATTTTTTAAAATTTGGTACTCAAAATTATGCTTCCTAGAAATTTACCATGTTGAAGAACTAAGTCACTTATGACACTACTTTAAAAACCTAGATTTTCAGCCAGGTTGTAGTGCCACATGTCTAAGGCTAAGGCAAGAGGATCACTGTGAGATTGAGGCCAGCCTTGAACACATAGTGAGTTCAAGGCCAGCCTGAACTGCATAGCAAAACTGTTTAAAAACAAAACAAAATGAAAACCCCACAAAACTAGATTTTTGAAGCAAAGCTTCATTAGAAACCACATGATAAGGAATTAAGAGATACAGACTTTTTCTTATTTTGATGTTATTGTCTAAAGATAACCATGAACACCCAAGATGAAACATATCACATTTTCCCAGCTAACTTATAAAGACACTTGACATCATTTTAAATTAGTAGCTTCTGTCTGCCTGCTGGGATCAACCTTAGAAATCATGGAAATGAGTAAACTGGGGCAGATAGCCCAGGATTGGATTTCTGTTGAATGACAGAAGTCTTGCCCAAGATACCAAGGAACAGTTAGGTTGACTCCAGTGAGCTGGGAGAGGGCACACTTGGAAGGTCCCTTACCTCGATTATGCTGCAAGAGCACAATGGTGGGATTAACAATCGTTGTGGAGGGATAGGCAGATGATGTCTTGCTAGCTGGTGGAAAGGCTTGGGAATCAGTTGCAATATGGGAAGAAGAAACTTCATTTAGTAGAGGACTGGAACGCTGAAAAGAAAACAAACAATATAACTAACTGTAAATGCAAGAAATCTAGAATTTATGCTTTTTAAAGGAGAAATATAAAACTTTACAAAGATTTTATTTATGAACAGAAATGTAGTCAAGAAGACATTTGGTCATTAATTCCAGTTAGAAGTTTAATCTGAAATGCTTATTCTCTTTGTTTGTATTAGTAAGGGGAAAGAAAGGGAAATTAAATGTTGCTGAGTCTCAGCAGCACCATTCATTATTTTCACCTGGTAGTAGCTGTGGGCCAATCTAGTTACTGAAAAAGCAAATTCAAATCAAAGTAGAATAACATGCAAAACCCATGCAATTCCAAATGTAATCCAAGAATGAGAGCCAGTTTAATTGGGAAAAATCAGGGAAGTTTAGTACACTGTCTTGAGAAATGTGAGACAATATGAAGACAAGAAGCCAATGATATAAGAACAAGGAAAAGTAATGATTCTCTCAGAAAGCTGCTCGTAGTATCAAAATCACTGAGCAATTCTACTAATGCTTGCTTCTGACATCTGAATATTATCCTATCATGCTGTAACATTTTTTTCACTCTAATATTAGAGTGATAAAGATCCCTGAAGTACAGATGTGTGAGAATCCTGACTTTAATAACCTGAACTCTCAGACAGAGATAGCACTAAAATTATTAATACTAACAGGATAATCCAAGTTGGGGGCAATGGTAGTATTTTGAAACAGGTGAAAACAGGATCCTGAAATGTAGGAAGGCTATATAGACACTTTCCTCCAGCATGTCTATATATTTTACAAAGTTTCTAGTCTATAATTTACAGACCTCAAAGCCAAGATGGCATTCTTAAATGGCTTTAAGAACAAGATTTTGATAACTACTATTGAAGCAATTATTAAGTTCAATCAAATCAACTATTATGTATGCACCTGCTGGACAAGGGCCATGCCTTCCCCTTCCTCCTGCCACCATCCAGCACAATGTCCTGCACATAGCAGATACTCAGAAAATACCATGAGCCATCTACCAGCATGAGAACATTTGACCTAACAATCGTGGCAAGAGTACACATGCTCATTAGAAGAGAGGATGTGGGTATCAGCAACCATGACAGGTCCTGCCATACAATGGGGGCTTCAAGACCACACTGCCTCAGTCAGTCTCTTTCTTCCAAAAGTTTGCATAACTGCTAATAATAATGAGCAGCAGCAGTGAGTAACATTTTTCCAAGACTCTGAGAAGCACAGTATGATCTTGTATATCAAGTGCCTTCTCAACTCCGTCATTTAAAATATAGGAAATATTTACACTTTTCCTAATTTATCTCCACAGTGATTTAATAAAGGTATATGACATATTTAAAACACTGCCAAAATGCTCCCAAGAAACAAAATATAAGGCACACCACAGCTCTTTAAAGCATATCTGCCCAATGTGATTCCCAAATAGCTGCAAATGGAACAGGTATTGGGGTCATGACTTGGACATCATCCATTGGGCCCTTCCTCTCCTTAAAAATTCTCATTCAGAAGAATCCAAGCAGTTTCTTTTTTCACCTTTTACTCTTATCTACAGCCAAACCAAAATTTATCAGGCCAACTTCTGGGAAGTCTACACCAGGCTGATTAGTCAGGTTTGAGAAATTGAGGATACTGTCCCAACTCCTGGGTCCTGGCATACCTGAAACAAACTCAATATGAAAACCTAGAGCTACACAAATGATAAATTATAGAGTCATACAAACTACTTTGGTGTATAAGTGCACTAAAAATAAGACTCACATTACCTGCTACTCTAGAGAAACACATTTTGTGCCTAAAGCAAGATGCCTGCATTCCCCAAAACCAGACTGGCTTCCAAATTCACCTAGAAGTTCAGCTTGGAGGGTGGGAGAGTACATAAGAGAACAAGCTAGCATTTTTCTCCAACAGGAGATGTGCTATCAAGCTCAAAGTCAGCAGGATATGCAAGCCCTTGGGTCATGTCTGGCCTGGTCCTGGCCGAACTACATAGTGCTGCATCTAGAAATTTAAAAAGAGGCCTCAGCCTAGGATGTAACAGTCAGTCCCCAGCTTTGGTATGCCTGATGACTCTATCATTTCTTGAATAAGTCAAATAAGTTTCCTCACTGCTTTCTGCATGACTGGCTTTAGCTTAACAAGCCATTTGGGCCAGTACTGTAGGTATACCTCTTCACAGTGGGGATGTCATTGTCATTTAGTTCCATCAGCCAAATCCATAACTCACAAGCTCAATGTATCTCAAAATGTGATTTGTGGGGCCCCATCATAAGACCCGCTGAGATGCTTGAGACCAGGTGAGAATCCTAGGCCTCTCCCCAGAGCCACTCCATCAGAAACTCTAGGAGTACAAAGTAGACCTCCCTGGCTCTCAGGTGTACACTAACCTTGAAAACTGATACACCAACCCCTAAAATCCATTTGAAAACAAGGGGCCTGACTTGTTCATAGATGCACCTGTGGTGCCTAGCAAACTGCACCATGTGAAAGAAACTCAGCAACTAATTGTTAATTAACGAGTTGCTTTGGAGTGGCTCTGGCTCCTCATTTTCAAGGGCAAGTCCTCAGCAACACAACTAATGTTTACTGGCCACTTACTCTGTGCCAATTTTCAGTCCCATCGGTCCCCACAACCCCATAAGTAGATTGACAAATAGTATCTCCATATTATAGCTCACACTGAGGGTCTTCAGATTCTTTCAATTTCCAGGGCTCAAAAGGAAAAAGAAACCAAAATACTTCGGCTCAGCTTTTTGTCTAAAGCAGCTGGCCTTTCCCACCTATGGAGAGACTCAGCCTTCACACACAGGATGGGACCTGAGGTGTCAGGACCCTTTAACTTCCCACATCCACTGACCACTGGTGCACTGCTGTTCCACAAAGGCCCCTGGAGCCTCCTCCTTAGAGGGTCTCACATCTGTCTGTCTTTTGAAAAACTCCTAACACTTGTACAAGACTTTCAAGTCCACTTGCCCAATTAAATCTAACTGCCTAATTTTGTTCTTACCCTGGTCTCTGCCACTTCTGCTATAAAAGGGAGTTAGTTTACTCACAAAATCAACAGGAGTTCATCTTCTCCTCCCCCAGAACCCTTCTACTCCCTAGTACACTGTCCTATAGCACCACACCGGCATTGCCTTTCCCCACATAATTCTGCAGCTTTACTCAGCTCTTTATGTTTCATCTGTCTGGCCTATGAAGAGCAAGACTAGGCAAAGTAAAGGCCACAGATGTTTTCTCAGAGGAAAGACAAAGTTCTTTCAGGAAGACGTGCATTCCCAACATGACAAAAGGCCCTTCAGAGACTTGTGAATGGCCACAGGTGACCCAGGGAACACACAAGGGAAGCATGCACTCTAGGGACAGCAGACACAAGTCAAGTCATCACACAAGCACAGCAACAGCCAACACTTTCCTCAGAACTTAGTACTTCAGTGAGAAAGAGGGATTTGCTGCCAGGAGCAGACATTCAGAAAAGCTGTGGGGAGGGAAGTCCAGCAAGCTTACGGTACTTGAAACAGCTCCCGTGAGGTCAGGCTTGGAGACTCTGTGGAGGTCCTCCGGTATGGGAGGGACCAGCGGAGGTGGTGGTGAGAAGGATGGTGGTGTCTGGCTAACAGGGGAAAGGGAGCCACAAGCACTGGCTGGCTGGCTGTGCTGGGGCCGCCTCTGCAGATGAGGGGGAATGAAATCATCTAGAGTTGGGAAGGTCAGAGGTGAGGCAGCAGGGGTAGTCACCAGGGTAGTGTGGATGCAGCCAAGTGGCTCCAGAGATGCTGGAGGTCTGGCAGTGCCTTCTTGCCCTCTGTCAGTATTAACCAGGTAGACAGGGACAACTATTACCTCAGGCTGAGCTGGGCTGGAGGAAGTGGCATCCTGTGGGAAATAAGGGGGTTGTTATGTAAAGGGGTACAGCAGGGATAAAGGAAATCCATATTTAAACAGTTGAGAGTGGACATGCAGTGATGCACTCTGAGAAATATTTAATCAGTGCCCTTTCCTCAGAGTACATGAGACAGTTGGTGCTCGCCAGCTGGCCTCCTGATACTCCATGACACAGAGGGAGTTCCATCCAAGTTTACTTTCCATCCATCTATTTTTGAACTCTTTTAACACTTCAGGAGAGAGAAAGAGAACAAGAGAACAGGCAGGCAGACTGTGTTTAACTCCACAAAACTGCTGTAGAATCTCAAAGCCTGGGAGTAAATACAATTTCTTTGGCACCTTGACATAAAATAAAAACACTTCATTATCTCACATTATTAGTCTATGGATTCCACGTTCCAGCATACTTACACACTTACAGAAAAGAGAGGAAGGCAGAGAGAAATCTGTGTTTAGAGAGAAGAATTTAGAGTCAAGCCACAGCGATATTAATGAGGAAAGGGAGAGTAAGGAAGTCCCAGAGAACATAGTAGCCGCTCACATCAGTTTCTAAAGAGACAGTGCAGAAGACACAAAAACATTCCTAATTTCTTGCCTTGGCTGGATAACTTGGCTGCAAAAGGTAAATTTCTTTGCTCTTCCGGTTTCCAGGATCAGAAGTAACCTGGGGGCCTAGCACAGGTGGTCTCACTGCATCTGGAAACGAAGCCCAAGTCCCCAGGGAAGGACTCTCGCCACAGTTACCAGCATCTTTATGGATATCAAAGAATAGCTTGGAAGGATCAGGAGGAGGAGCAGGGGGTGATTTCCCTGTGCTGGCTGTGCAGGGGACAAGGCTGGGAGCTGGTGCCTGAGTGCCGGCAGCCTCTGAGGGAGCATCTTTGGCCGAGTCACATGCAACATGAGAGAAGTTTTCTGACACGGCCCGGCAAATGTTATTGGATAAACAAGGTACATATAAGCTGCTGATCTTTTTATTCCCAGTGGCCTCATGACATGGGTTAGAACTCACATTCTTACTAGGAACTAACCTCATGGCTGCATAGTGGCGCTGGGGTTGGGATAAAGCATCAGGGAACGTGGAACCCAGAAACAAGGGACCAGAATACAGCACATCTTTGGGAGCTGATATAGCTGCCAGGGGAACAGAAAAAGACTGCTGTTGTGAGGGGTTTTGCTGGCTGAAGGTGCTGGGTCGAAAGTAAGGCTTTGGTGAGCTCATGTATAGGGAGTCTTTATGGGTACTGCAGACAGTGGAGGGCTGCCATGCAAAGCAACCCTCTGGAAGGAGAGGAGTGCATGGAGAGAAAACCTTTAGTAGTATTTTTAAGACATGATATCAAAACAAGGAAAAAAGAAAGAAAGAGAAAGGGAGATGGAAAGAAGGATGACCATTAGAAACAACAGCATAACATGATGTGAAGACAACAAAAACTCTTGACACATTTTCAAGCAAATCTTCAGGCTGGTCTCCTCTTGGTACCAACAGTTTCCTTAGAGTAAAGCCAAGGACTGGCTTATACTCACCTGGAGAGGCTGGTCTGACTCACACCCCAGGGAGGCTGAGCCATCCCAAAACAAGTTACATCAGCTTCAACACCAATCCCTGGTTAGCTGCATTTTCAGGGACCTCCTGGCTCAAGGGTGCCCAGGGAACCAAATGACAGGGGAGCAAGTCCCAGAGACCCCATTCCCTTGAATTCACTCTTCCTCAAGACTTTTCTTGAAGGCTTTGCTTTAAAATTTGAAGTTCATTAGACTCCTTTGAGTACCTTCTATCTTTTCCCTTAGGAAAAAAAGAGTTGGAAGAGCTATACTTTTTTGTGTGTGTTTACAGGAAATAAATATCTACACTGAGTCACTAAGGTTTAGTCCTCAATTCTGTGAGCATAATAAATTAAAGCTCACCAAGAAGAGAATACTAAGGACTTTGATGCACATAAAATTAAAAGCACATAGTTCATAGTCTCCCGTGTTTGATGCACACAGAAAAAATCAATGTGCTCATATTTTGGCTTGTGGGATTATACTATTCCTGGTACATCAAATTCCAGCTCAAGTCAACCCACCACCATCCACAGAGAATCTATTCTAGAGGAAGATGGTCAACCTCAGAAATACAGCTTACACCCAAAGCTCTGAGTACAGATTCTGAGTTACAGAGCTATAGATCACATAGTTCATATAGTTCAATTCTCCCTTCTTCCCTCAACACCACTCTTTCATGGGTCTCAGTGGGGCCAAGAGCCAGGAAGCAGAGTGACTCTCTAGACTAAGCCTCTTCTGCCAATCTGCAGCTCAACTGGGCATGAAACTATGAGATGAAGAAAGCTCATGTTCCTAGACATTCTTCACTAGCTCTTATCTTTACAGATAATCCAGCACTAGAATAAATCCAGAACCCTCCTCCAAATCACACAAATAAAGGATACAAGAGTTTGGTCAATATCTATTAAATGGGTTTTGACTAAAAACTAGGGGAGGTGCAAGGGTGTGGGTCTATCTTGCGGTTGTTTTGTATTTCACTTCTGTATTTTGCAGAGTACATGTGGGAATGGAAAAGAATGCTAGAGAGTGTGAATAGGTGAGAAATTGTTTCCTATTCATGAGTTTGGACTAGAATATCAACCCAGAAATACTAAACAACCTATCCTTTAGATTTTCCTAAAACCTATCCTTTAGGTTGTAACTCAGTTTTCAAGTTACAAATAATCTGGGTGGATTATTTGGACATTCTCACCTAACTCTCACCCAACTGTCCTTTCCTTACTGTATCCAAGATGGTACCAGTGGAATATGGCCACGTATACCAGTCAAAAATACAAAATGAACAGTGCCTCTCTGGTACACAGCAAGAACAAAACCTTTCATTTAGTTCATGAACTTGTACTGAGGCTTCAGGTATGTTTGCAGTCTAAATTGCCCTGCCAAAACAAAACATTTGGACTAGCATGCAGCAAAGGGACTGCCAGGTAAGCTGATAATGCTGATGAGAATTAAGCAAAAAATCTCTTTGATTTGGGTTCAGATTTACTTTTATTTTGAGGTCAACTATCTTGCATGTGATTTCTTGTCTAAAGATAGAAATCATGAGTAATTTTTAACTTAATTTGGCTGTGGCCATATATGGTACCAGGGCTCCATTACATCAGGCATAAGCCTTCCCAGGCTTGTGACCCTACAGAAGGGATGCTTCCCAAGAGTGTTCACAATCCACTTAGAGCCAAGGACTTACTGTCATGGGGCTTCTTTTAGTCCTAAAGAAAAAAGGAGATAGAAGGAACTACTTTTTGTTTTATTGGAAACATGGTAGGAACCACAGAGGCAATTTGTATTCTTGCCCAGCTGGCAACTAAAGAAATTCCACTTATTTTTTAAAAGGTAGATCAGTGAAAAAAATGAAGCTTCTTGAAAAATTTGGTTTGCAGTTTATACAGTTCCAGGAACTATGTACACTTCCACTGGGTATGACCATGATGATAATGATGTTACAAAAGACTTGGTTCCCTCTCTCCCTTGTGAGAAGGAGGGCAGTAGGTCTAGGTTTACAGGACACAGTGTCTCATGTCACCCATCGGTCTCCTGGACCTTAATTCATCTCTATAAGGATATACTCACAACACAGAGTTGTGAGAGCTCTCTTCAGCTGAAATCAAGCCAGGGCAGTGCCTGGCCCAGAGGGCCCAATCTCCCTTGGCTTTGTTGAAGCCAAGAACTACTTATAAATCTGATGATGGCTATGTATTCAAGAAGTCATGTTTACATTCAGAAAATAAATCTAAAAATTAATGCATAACCTAAAGGTTCTTGAAATTTAGTTGACCAATTTTACACTGAATATGCAGAATAAAGACACTATAATAGCCATTTTCCACACTTCCTTTAAGAAGCCCCACTTAAAAAAACAGTTGTGTGACAGATAAGAAAACACCCCATTTAGGATGCTTAGCCTTATTAAGAAGCTAAGAGTGGTGTCTCACACCTGTAACACCAGCACTCTGGGAGGCTGAGACAGAAGGATCGCAAGTTTGAGCCCAGCCTCACCAACTCAGTAACTTAGTGAGACTCTGTCTCAAAATAAAATATTTTTAAAAGTTGGGATAGGGGCTGGGGATGTAGCTCAGTGCAAAGGCTGGTTCAATCCCCAATACCACTAAAAAAATAAAAAATTCCTTCAGGGCAACATTTCTTAAAAGAGTGATATGAACACAACAGAGCATATAATAAAGCTACTGTACATAAATGTATTTAAAAATAATTTTTCTTTACTTCCCATGCTTTTAAAATGATCTCTTAAAAAGAGGTTCAGTGGTACCTCAGTTCATGAACCCTTTTGTTTGTAAACAATTTGGTTCACAAACAGAAGCATTTGGCAAAATTTTGGTTTCATTTGCAAATTCTGCATTGGGTAACAAACATGACCATGGCCATCTTTCCCACACAAACACAATGTGTGGCCATCTTTTCCAAAATCATATAACAAATTAAGTTTGCAAACCAAGGTACTACTCTATTTACAAAGACAAAAGGAATTATTGAGTTACCCTGTGAGCTAAGTCGATGATAGAAGACAGTGTGCTTCTACATTTCCTTTGAATTCATTAGCACTGCTTTCTAATGTCAACAGCTAACTGTGTACATTCTTGAGATGGCTGAGAAGGAAGTACGTCTGCCACAGGCAGCAGATTTGTACATTAAAAAAAGTTTCAGAAATGGGCAAAACAGAGCAAGTTATTTACCAGACAAATGATCTCCCAAATCCCTGTGTCAAGTGAGAACTTCAGGAGGGTAGGCATGCTCACAACTCCTGATTCTAAAAGGGGCTCGGGATACACCTGGCTGTCCTGGCAGGGGGAGTGTAAGTCATGGCAGATGGTGGAGAAGCTTAATGGTGCTGCTTAGCACACAAGGCAGACTCAACACTAGCCTGAGAAAACAGAGGTCAGCAGAAACAAAGGAAGACATCATCTCTGATTTGGTTTCATTGCAGAGGCCAGAGCAACTTTACATCCTTGCAGGAAGAGCCAAAGGATCACTAGAGAAGAGGGGTGGGAACTAGGAGAGATCTGTGGAAATTCCAAGTTTCTTGTGAGTTCTGGGATACAACAGGAATACATTTCTGCAAGTATGAGTATGGTAAGTCCCTGACTTAGGAACACTGAAGTTGCAAACTTTCACAGGGCCACTGTATAAGATTTACAAGTGTACTGTGTAAAACTCACTTTGTCAGATTATGAACAAATCTGATTTACAAACATCCTCCCATAATGGAACTCATTCATAAGTCAGGGACTTACTGTAACACCACTTTCTTTAAGAGAAAAGAGCTCCATTCCATGGAAGTGGCTGCTCTATGTAAAAATATTCTTCACAGATCATCTGAATTGTAACAGGGTCTATCCTTTTCATCAAAGTGTCAATATATCAATAGGGAAGGAAAAGAAGAAAGATTGGGAAAACCAGCTAGGAGAAAAGACCTAAGCAGAATTATCCCTACTCCAAATTGTATAGCTTTGGGGAATTTTCTGTTGTAAGATAGAGCCGGGGTGTGTAAATGAGGCTGTGCTGCCATTTTAACTTCGATCTATAGGGTTGGGCTCTTGGATTTAGGGTCTGGCCATAGCTACATGATAATAATCTGTGAGGATATAGTTGCTTTGAACTCTTAGCGCCCCAACTCCAGAAAATTAATGAAACAAACACAAGAAGCACTCTTCTCTTCAATATTACATTCTGAAGAGTTTTATAAAAATAAGCCCAGCCGGGGATTTAGCTCAGTGGTTTTGCCGTCTGCTACACAAGTGCAAGGACCCGAGTTCGATCCCTGGTACCAAAAAATAAATAAATAAATATTTTTTAAAAAATACAAGTAAAAATAAGCTCAGAATTTTTTCTACTTATTCAATCTAAATGAATTTTTTCTTTCAGAACATTTCCACATACATATCAAATCTAGAAAACATCAGGCCTATTTCCAATACCCTGTTAGAGACCAACCTCATCCCACGCCTCTGCTGCTCTTGATTCTGACTCTCCTCCTAACTTTAGTCCTTGCAGAGCTTTTCTGCAGTTGGTTAAAAGCTAGTGCATGATCCAACTGAGGAAATAGGAAGTCACAGGTCTCAGATAAAAGATTAGTGCACAAGTACCACTCACTGGTTCCCACCCTGCCCATGGGCACATGCCTACCTGGGGCTTGTCAGCCAGAAGGCTGGGATGCACACTTCTGTAGCCTTTGGCAGCAAGTGAAGAGGGTTGGGCATTCCCATTGGCATCAGCACTGGAAGAAAGCCTCCAGTCATCTAAAAGATTAAAAAAGAAAACTAACTTAAAACTCATAAGGAACATGCGCTGGCTCCCACCTAGTTCAGGGGTCCCTGTTAGAAACCAGCAACAGTAAGGATAAAAGAGAAACCATACCTGCTGAAGAATTCTCTGGCTCCTGACCTATGTGTAGGGCAAAAAGAATGAAAACAAGAAAAAAAGGAGGAAAACAGAAATGGTTACATTTTCAGAATAAGCATGAGCTACATAGAAGGATGAAACTCCAGTACCCTGTTGTCTGACACAAAGTGCCTTCAGTCATGATGGTCTGATTACCATAGGAACCCACTCTAAACCATGATGTGCTCACAGGCACTGACCTTTGAAAACACAAGGCCCACATTCACAGGAATGAAGAAACAATTCTTCCTTGAGATTCTTATTTTACAGACAAAAAGGCAATAGAACTCTCTACTGCCGAGTCCCTACTCACTAACTCTCATTCCCCTTCCCCATGCCTGCTGTGGGGTCAGAATGACTGCTCCTCATGAGCAGGCTAGGCTAAATAATGGGCTCTGGACAGGAAATAGCTAGGTCCTTTTTCCAGGGGTGGTATGCTGTATTAGGGGTAGAACATGATTTAAGCCCAGGGATATCTGCTGTGATATGTTATTTTGGTTTGTTTTTATTGTGTGGTGCTTTTTTTTTTTTTTTTTGGTACCAGGTACCAGGGATTGAACTCAGGTCCCTGCATTTTTTTTTCTTTTTTTGGTCTCTGCCTGCTTTTCTTCTTTCCATTAAATAAGCCAGTAAACATTTGAAATCTAATCACCCTTCCTGAATACTCATTATCCTCCAAGGCACCCTTGTATCCCTTCAGCCTTCCCAGTCATTGCCTGTTGTATTTCAGAGTCTCTAAATCTCTCCCAGTTTAACCCATCAGCACCACGAAGCAATAGTGCCCAGTGGTTATATGTTCAAGTGGCAAGGCAACTAGAATTTAATTCAAGTCCTAGCTCCACTACCTATGACCTTCATGATTCTGAGTAAGCTATAAGCCTCATTTTGCCCATCTTAATAATGGGGATAATGATAATACATGCTTCATTAGTGTTGTTACAAGAATTAAATGACCTAAAACATGTGAAATGCTAAGCACAGTGCCTGGAAAAGCTCATAAATATTTACTACCTGTCATCATCTTCCGCATTGCCTCTTGTCTCTAGAATACTGTATCCTCCATCTTACCTAGGGGTCCACAAACCTCTTCTACAAAAGGCCAGATAATAAATATTTCAGGTTTTGTGGACCACATGGTCTCAGTCACAACTAGAGATTGAGCACTGCTAATCTGAAAATGTGAAATGCTCCAAACTCTGAAACTTTTTGCACACCAATATTATGGCATAAGTCAAAAATTCCACACCTGATCTTATGTGATAGGTTGTAGTCAAAAAGCAGGTGTACTAAAAATAGAATTTCCCTAACAGTTGGGGTTGTAGTTCACTGATAAGAGTACTTGCCTAGCATATATGATGCCCTGGGTTCAATCCCCATCACCACATAAACAAAGCAAACAAACTACTGGAACAAATAATGATAAAATAATATTTCTATCAAAAAATATCTTCCCCTGGGGGCCGGGGATTTAGCTCAGTGGTTCCACCACCTGCTTTGAAAATGGAAGGACCCGAGTTCGATACCAGTACTCCAAAAAAACAAAAACAAAAAACCAAAAAAAACCTTTGCATATGTATAAGGTATACATGAAGCATAAATTAATTTCACATTTATACTTAGGTTCTTTTCTAAACATATCTCATTATTTATAAGCAAATATTTCAAAGCTGGAAAAAAAAACTGAAATCCAAAATATTTCTGGTCTCAAGTACTTTGAATAAGGGACACTCAACCCATATCTGACTCTGCCATCACAGAACAAGAGTGGCTACAGACAGTACATGAATGAGTGAACATGGTTATGTTCCTATATCCTTTTACTCATGGCCATAGTTGCCAATCCCTACTGTAGCCCATCCTTTACTTCCTCCTTCTCCCCATCTTCATCTTCTTGTCTCATCCTGTGTAGATACAAAGGGGACTAATACTGCAGCTCTCAAGCCCAAGCCTCCATTGCAAAGAAGGGCCTTCAGAGACTAGAGATGGACTTTCCAAATTGCAAGTTGACATGTGTAAACATTTATTGAACAACTTCCACTGCTACACTTTTATGCCGATTTAGCATTGACTTTAGTGTGCATGCCAACTCTGTGAGGTAAGTAATCATCCTACTTCTTGGTTGGAAGAGAGGGAGGCCAGATGACCAGCCCAAAGTCACACAGGCTCACATGAGGGTACCAAGTAGTCAGCCCCGGTCTCCAGAATCCAACTGCAATGTCCTGACCACCACCAACAGCTGACAACCATACCATTAGCCACCAAGCAGTAGTTACATCCCAGGGAGGTGGTAGAATCAAACAAGTGTCAAAGCAAAATGCAAGGCAGGAGTAAAGGTTTTGACTGATTTGCATCCATGTATAGCAGCAGTCTTTCTGCATCAGAATCACAGAGAACACTTGATAGAATACAGGTCACTGGAACCCACTCCCAGCATTTCTGATGCAGGAGGCGAGAGGTGAGGCTCAAGAATTTTCATTCCTAAAAAGTTCCCACATGATCCACAGTATGCAGGTGGTCCACAGTATATACTCTGAAAACCACTGAAATAAGGCACACTCAAAAAAAACCTTATTCTAGAAAACTAATTGTTTCTACACCCGCTATTAAAACACAATTTTTATAAGATAACTCAGTTATAAACTCTTTTAGTGGCCTGCCTGTTTACAATTCTGCTACTTCCTTTAGACAATTCATAGCAACTTACAATGGACTCTCGAGTTATGACCAGCTTGACATACAATTAACCTATGACCAAAGTCTTGAATTACAATCTGAATGCCAGCCATTTGTGCTTCCAGATGGTCTCAGATACAGATTTAACCCTTAAAGAGTTCTGGAAGGAACATTACAACATCCTTTCCTGTGTGGAGTTAATTGAGAAATCCTGGGTCAATGTTTCTCTAAGGACACTGAGATCTGCCTGTGTACCAGAGAGAGACTTTGAATGCTGCGTACAGGAGCCTGAGCCTTCAATTGATCAACTTGAATTACAACCAGCCTTCATGAATGATTTGAGTTCCAAAGGTCCTGCTGAAAAATCAGAGATCAGGTAACCACACTCAACCTTCTTTAGTGTTTCCTTCCATATGCCTGGCCCAGAAAAATTTTCACATCTGGCAGACACTCTAACATAGGTTGTGACAATGGTCCTCTGTTCTCCCATCACTTTCACTATCCCATCTTCTTTCCTAAGTTGCTATTTCTGGTCCCACTTTTTCAGATCATTCTTCATTATTGTTTTTTGGTACCGGGGATCAAACTCGGGACCTTGCGCTTGCGAGGCAGGCGCTGGAACCACTGAGCTAAATCCCCAGCCCCTCAGATCATTCTTCCAATGTATTAAGTTTATGTAAACACTAAATAGAAACAGGCTCTGAGTGATGGGCTATTCTATGAATGATATAAACTCTTATACTAATTTGGGGATACATTATTTTGCCCATTGTTGGTTCCCAGTTGGGTTGGTTCTATTCAAATGATACTATCAAATAAATGTGTCATGGAAAATTGAGGTGTGACTATCCTTCCAAACCTCTAGGTGTTCTAAAGGGATTATCATTTTGGAGTCTGATTACCTTGTATGTCTTCATCCTCCATCTTATTAACTATAAATTCCCATCAAATGGCCTAATTCTATAAAGTGGACACAGATCTCTTCTTGAGTCATGAGGAATAAATGAAAATATATGGAATAACATGTTTTATAAAATTGGAATCTAAAGCACAAGGGGAAAAAATTCCCATAGACATGGACTAGAATCACTGATCTCCATTGGAATAGTTTCAAGAGAATATCTTTGGGAATTGACCCACTTTTTGCTTCACATTCCAAATCTTTAAATTGTTCCCCTGACCCAGCCCCAAAAAGGCAGTTCCTAGGAACTCTTTCAGCTATTCTCTCTTCTGTGTTGAAGGAGAGCTGCATTTCTGATGTCTCATTATCTTTTGCCTATTAACTTGTCCTCTGAATCTGGAAGGCTGATAGCAGCCCAAGTGTGTGGGATGAAATCTTACATATATAATCATCAATTGTGAACTCCTGATTTAAGAGACTGTCAAAATGCTTCTTACAATAAATGTTACCTTACAGCTCCTGAGATGGGAGAGAAGGGAGGCCTTGGAAAGTTGGCTTCCAGGTAGATTTTGCAACCCTGAAGAGAAATATCTATTTTGCAGTAAGTTTAATTTATTTTGCCTTGTCTTTTCTTCCATCTGTTCTTTATTTACAATCTTTTCTGGGCTGTGGCTTTAGACTCCTGCTATTTTTCTTTCATCCAGTTGGTGAAAATTTTCTGTGCTACTTCATTTTGGCTTGTTCTAATGTTTTTGTTTGTTTCTGATGATCAGTCATTCTTGGGATCTTAAGATAATTTTCACTGAATCAGTCTTGATGTGTTCTGGTAGTATACTCAAGAAGTAGATGACAGGTGTTAAAAGCAGGTTAGTGTTCCAAATCTTATTTAGGTTTATATTTTATTTAAACTGTGTATTAGGGAATTTAAATTTACCCAGAAAAGGTGCCTGGCCTTTGCCCTCTGCTTCTAGGAAGTGATCACTAAACACTTGGAATATCACACCTGAAAGGAATGTCTTTGTTTATCTGGGGGCTTTGAGTCACACCAATAATGTAATTTGGGATGTGGGCTTTGAGGAAACAGAAGCTCCACCTCCTAATGGAGTCTAAGATGGGCAATGGAGCATGCCTATGTAATGGAGACAGAGTAAAAACTCTGGACACAAAGTTATGGGTAAACCTTCTGATTGGTAATACCAGGAACATACTTTGAGACATTTAAATAGACTAAGAAATAATGTGTGCTGACTTCATGTGGGGAGGACAATGGGTAGCTCTAGTAACTCCTCAGACTCCACACTATGCATTTTTTCTCTTGGATGATTTTAATCTCTATCCTTTCCCTATAATAAACTATAGCAATCAGTATAACTTTCAATGAGTTATAAGAGTCCTTCTAGCATTATCACTGAACCTGAAAGTGGTTTTTGGAATTCCCAGAATTTGCATTTGTCAGAGTGAGGGTGCCCCCTTGTGGGTACTTTTCCCTCTAATGTCTCAGCTGGCCCTAAGATTTGATTTGGGGGAGGGGTACCTATAACTGTGTCAAGTGTCAGTGAAGGAGTGTCAAGTTTTTTATAATGTCTTTTTGCTGCTGCCAATCTGGAGAGCAAATATGAGAGTCAAACCAGAAGAAATGAGTTGATTGTAGGCCCAAGAATGTTTAGCCATAAAGCTAACTTTGCAGTGAAGAATCAAGGATTGATTGGGCCAACTGGTACAGAATTAACAAAATGTAAGGGCTAACTAACCTAGACCCTGGCATTTAAATCAAAATATAGGAGAGGATGTATGAAACCACAAGGTCTTCACGCTATACCAGATTGAAACTTGGTACTGCATCCACCACCAACTCAGGTTCCTTTTCCCCTCCTGAGTAAAGGATGCTGGTGACCTTGCTCTGAACCAACATGGCCAACAGCCGGATGTGGCTAGCAGTGTGAACAGGAAACAAGTACAAGGTAATGAGGCTTCTCCCAGCATCAAGGAGTCAGCACTAAGATTACTGCCATTCCTTTCAGATGGTTATGAGGATCCACAGAGTTTAGAATACTGGACAGGAAACCATGGTCATGGACCTGGGGTCCAGCTGCCCCTTGAAAGCAGGAGTATGGGATGTGAGTTTAAATTTCCACCTTTCATTCTACTGCAGGGGACAATTCCATACTCCTAAAATTCACTTATGCAGATAGCTCCCAAATCTATACCTTGGACTCTAAATTTTCAAAGGCTAATTAGAAAATTTCTTCTAGAAGCCCTTCCCTTTCCAAAAAACTCAATATTCCTAAAAATGGAATTCAACATTCCTTTCAACCCTCTTCACGAATTCACCATCTTTTTTTTTTTGTATTAAATTCTTTTATTGGTACATTGTAGGTATACAACACAATTACATTTCTCATTGGGAATCGTACTTTTATATAATGCATCTTGGTTCTTATTTTTTCCCCATTCCTAGCCCTCCCTTCACGCCCTCCACCCTTCCCTATTTACAAAGACTTTATTTCCATTTTTTCCATTTCTCATCATTTTTTCCTTTCCCTTCTTTCCTTTCCCCTGTGCCTCCCACTACCCCTACCCCTTTGGACCTTTTATTCCTATTTTACATTATCGATTATTCATTCCAATAATTGGTACATTTTAGGTATACAATATAATGACATTCATCTTTGGAAAACAAATTCCCCATCTTATATGAATGCCACAATTATCCTCCTAGGAAACCATGGAAGACACTTCTTGGTTAATGGAGTCTTGTCTCTCATTGAGCCCTGTCATTTCATTCGATTCCACCCAAATTGCCCAAATATTCAATCTTGAATTTATTCCCAGTCAATGGGATTCTATTTGTGTCAGGTTAATTTCCAAACTTCCAAAGCTCAAAGAGCAAATTAGAACATTTAGAAAGACTTGGAAAACATCTTGGAAAGCATCTTTATATGGGCTTCAAAGTCACTGTGACTTATAGCCAGAAAGCAGGGTAGGCAACTACAAGCCCCTGCCTGACTGTTCTGTTGCAACAAACTGCCTTTTGCCCACACCTTAGCATCCAGAATTATTCTTGATTTTTTTTCTTTTTCCTCCTTTCTCTCCATTTCTCATCACAATTCCCAGTGGCTTGCTTAGCTCCTGGCATGCAGATGATGTTGAATGAATGCAAGTTCATTTGGATTAATTTCAACTTAGCAGATAAAAATAATTTACTGTAAGGTACACACACTGATAGCTAAACCCTCAATCCTTCTGCATATTTTTAAACAATTTGGTAAAGATTTGGTGAAAGGGTTTGACCAAATCTCTTTTCACCAAAATTAGTTGGTAGAAATTTGTAAGATACAGAACTATCCTAGGACAAGACAGTGCTTTCTAGACTGCATCAAATCCACCTCTAGTTTTGTAGCACATAGCGAGAGTACTATCTAATCTACATTAGTGTACACTGTAACACTAGAGGGAGCTCCAGGCCCCCTCTCCTCTGCCATGTCCACTCACAGCCTGAGAATGGGCTTGGTTAAGGTCATCCTATTGGGATACAGGGATTTTCTCTTTCTCCCCTAACTTCCAGCTTGGGAACTGCATCTTTCTAGTTAGACTGAGAGATGCTGCTTTAGGTGGGCTTTGAAAAAAAAATCATGTTTTTTTCTCTCCTCAGCCCCATCTTTCCCAGAGAAGAGAGAACTGAAACAAGTCAGGAATCAGTTGTGGGTTCAGGGACAAATAAAAAGAAATTATTTTGTCAGTTTTTAATGCTAGAAGCCACTCAGGCCTTCCCTGGGTCTATAAACAAAGAAGCCCTCCATAGGTACCAATACTACCAGTAAGGTGACACTAGTTGGATCTTGTCCTGGGGCACCTGCCTCAGTACCTGCTTCAGGTGCCTGAGACAAGAAGAAAGTCAGTCTCTAGGATGCTGGCCACTGACCATCTATCTCCATATACAATTCCACTTTACTACAACACATGACTCCTACTGTACCAGAAGGGTCTATGTGCACAACTTTCTTTCCTCTCTGATTCCAATGGAGCTGTCAGCCTTTCAGTTCATTTTCTCTCTTCATTTTCTTCCAAAGAAAAAAAAAGTCCTCCCTTAGAGTCCTCAAATATGGTCGTTGGGCCAGCAGTGTCAGCATGACCTAAGGACTTGTCAAGAATGCAAAACCTCAGATCCCACCTCAGACATGCAAGCAGGAATCACAAATTCTAAAACTCTGGGCTGGGGCCCAGAAACTTTCCTTTTCACTCCAGGTGATTTTGATGCTGAGAGAGCATGTAATCCATGACACTTCAGAGTAAGAGCAGCTACCTGCCCCTCAACTAACTGCACCAATAGAACCACAAAGTCAGTATTACCTGATCCCAGAATGGGCTTTGGAAAGCCCTCTCTAGACAGGCCAAAATAACCTGAATCCTAATCTAATAACAGCAGCTAACACCTAACAGTTTATTCAAGGCCTAGTGTAAAACACTTCACATCCTTCTTCCTCACAATAATCCTGTGTGGCAGATACAATGATCAACCCCATCCCACAGATGAGATCTTTGATGTTGAGAGAGACAGAATACATTAAATTGTCTGAGGTTTCACAGCCACCAGGTAGTAGAGGCAGGATGTGAACCCAGATGTACCACATTCCAAATGCCCAGGTCTAACCCTCAACACCATGTAATAGACACTTAGGTTTCTCATGTTACGGATCAGGGTGGGCAGGGGGATGTCACATGGACGTCTTTGGTCTCTCTCAGTTCTTACGCTGCACTAACTTTACAACTGCTCTCCTAATCCTGCTCCTTCCACTGTCTTCTCCCCAGCACAGGCCTGAGCCCTGCTGGTTCTGCTTTCTAGGTCATTCAGCCTCCTCTGGCTTTTTCTCCAGCCAACCCTACCCACTTAGCTCAAAAGAAAGATGATCTCAGAAAAGCTCAATATCCAAGGCTTCTCACCATGTGCTCCCTAGGCTCAAAGCCACATCTGTCCACTTGAATTCAGTCTTCAGAACACAAGTTGGTGTAAAGCTCAAACAAAATAGGGGTCATTGCTGTGCCTTTACCAAAAGCATGTGACTACCTGTCAGTCTAGGGGTTGGATACTACTCATCATAGAAGAGACAAGGAGCCAACTTTCCCAGGGGCCCCTAAGAGAATCAGGTGGCAGAAGAATTCAAACCTACCTAAGCAAAAGCAGGATGATCTTCCCATATGGCTTTGCACATCCCCTGACCCCATCCCCCAGTCACAAGGTTAGCATACCTGGCTTGCTTTCATGTTCCAGGGTTTCCTGAGGGCTCACAGGGCTACTGGTTGGGGCTTCACCATAGGAGGATGAGGCCCGGAGAGTCACCGCTCCTTTTCCAGTGCAGATTTTTGTAGGATCCATATCTGAAAAGAAATTACACAAGAGAAAAGATTGCATCCAAGACTCTAGAAAGATTAAAACAATAGTCAGCAAATTGTTACAGCAGGGAAAATGAGATGAACTTGACTACAGGTACTCAAAGTATTCAAACACTCATGGCCAATAGAAATATGTGGGTGGTGGACAGGGACAAGTCAAACTATTTCCAGAGGTTTGTCAGGCATCATGAGATTAGTGGAAAATGGAGGCAATGGTGAGTAAATGTATGAGTTACTATATTAGCTGAAAATGCCTCAAAATGAAAGCAGGTTTATTTCTTTTATTAAATGAGGTTTAGGGTAGTAAGCAGACTTCTGGTCAATTAGTTAAGTCAAGTTTCAAGAAAGAGGTCAAGAAAAATCTTTCAAGCTTCCAATCCATCCTTCATATCAAAGAGCAAATTGGCAACACAGGGAGTTAGGGATATGTTCTGAGGAGGATCATTGTTTTGTAGTTCTCTAGAGGGAAAAAGAGAAAGCAAACCTGGTAACTACAAGTCAAGAACCCTGAAGAGATGAGACAGAAGAATATGCAGCCTCACATTCCAAATGCAATGAAGAGAACTCACAACAAGGAAGATGATTAAAAAGGCTCATTCCCTGACAGCACTGTTTAGTGACATTCCCTAGAAACTTCATGGGGCCTTGACCTCCCCAACAGCTTTACCAGGACCTAATATAGACCCAGAACATCTCTGAGAGTTCCCTTAAGAAGGATGTAAAAGTACAGGTGTTCACCTTATCCAAGGGAGATACATTCCAAGACCACACAGTACTGACCCTGACACATGCTTTGTTCTTCCTTAAACACGTATGCCTCTGATAAAGTTTAATTTAAAATTAGGTGTAGTAAGAGATTAACAACTATAATAATAAAATAAAATAATTACATACATAATAAAAGTTATTTAAAATTTAAGAATTGTTTATTTCTGGAATTTTTCATTTAATATTTTTGGGCCATAGCTGACCATGGGTAACTGAAACCACAAAAAGTGAAATTGCAGTTAAGGAGGCTATTGTAAGCTTCAACAGATCTGGGTGCCCATCCTCCAGGAAAATCACTAATGAGGATGCAGGAAACCAGTCCAGACTACACAATTCTAGAAGGCACATATGTCAAGTGTTTCTTTATGTGCAGCTGAGCTAAGCTGAATTCCACACTTATTTGGGGTCTTTTTTATTCCAAATTATCCATTCCCTGGATCCTTGACCTAAAATTGCCACAATTAGGATTATGGGATAAACAGGATTACTAGGAATGCTCAGGGCATGCATTTAGGCAGGATGTGGGTTTGGTGTCCATTTCATTCCCATTCCTGTTTGAGGTAAGAGGGAAGCAAGGCTTCTTTTCTCCTTGCTTTCCATCCCAGCTGCCATCTCCCAACAACTCAGAACACTCACTAGTGCTGCAGAAGAAGACAGATCTGCCTATCAGACTCTTCCTGAAAATTGAAGCATAAAACCCTTGGAGGCAGCTGACTCCAAGACATCTGACTTGTCCACCCTGTGGAAGGGAAATTGAGGACCCAAACTATTGGGAAAACTGGTTCATGCTCATTTCCAACAGACAAGGGGTAAAGCAGCAAATCCACAGCCCACCCATAGATTTCTGAACACGCAACCAGATTCACCCACCTTCTCAAAGTGCAACAAGAGAAAGTGCAGCCTAAGCTTTGTTTGTACCACTTTGTATAGCAAAAGCTTTGAGCCAGAGCTGACATCTGAATTGTATCCCTGCACCTGCCAGTAATGGCAGGAGGTGACTATGGATGAAATAGGGTTGGGATGGTGACACACTGGGAACTGACAATTCAGGGTTTTTGCTAAGGCGGCTGCCTTGAAGTCTGTCCAATTCAGAGGGTCCCTGTGAGGTCAGATTGATTCTTGGGGAAATTGAAGTTTTCACTAAAGAATTGGGAGTTGCAAACTTCTAGGGAGAGCCTAAGAAAGTCTACATAGACCCAACCCAGAGTCAACACTCAGCCTCTGGACTGACCCTTCACCTCAAGGAAGAAGGACAAGGCCTCTGCTTGCTCACTGGCTCCCAGAAATACATACACACAGTCACATACACCCACAGAGAAGAAAGGAAATAAGCTGAAGAAGAGAAAGAACACCTCCCAATCATGCAAGGATTAAGCCTCACAGTATGTGTTAGAAGAAAAGAAACCATGCATAATCTAACAATTAAAAAGAAAGAAACCAACCCAAGGCAAGATACCTGGAGGGAGGACCAGGCCTGAAGCATTTTTCACTGTCTTCACAGGAATTATTTTAACAGCAGAAATAGAGCGTGCACGTAAAGGGTCGGCAGTTGCTGAAAACACAAAAGGGTAAAATGGTGCATCCAGAAAGAACATTTGGGAAACATTCATGCCATTGAGGAACCAAGCAGGGACAATAGGAGGAAGCTGCCTACCCAAATAGAACAATATAAAGAGCAATAGATGTAGTAATTAAAATAAGCTGCTTTCTCTCTTCAGAGTTCTGGGCCAAGACAGCAGAAATCTTCCAACCATCACCCAAATACAGTTGGTCAGTGTTTATCAGTGCCTCCTGCCACACTAGGAGCTTGCCAGTGCTTTGAACAAAGAGATGTACAGAGACACAGATGGTATGGCAGATAGAGGAAGGAGAGTGTAATCAGGGGCCTCTTGGGAGAATGGTGGATCATTTGCCCTGCAGCAAGGGCTCTGAGGAGAGGACTATGGCCCAAAGGCCCCAGATGAATGGAAGAAGGAAAGGAACAAGTTCATGAGTTGTCTGGTCCCTTCAGCCATCACAGCTGTTTCCCCAAAATCACAACTTCTGGGATCTCAAGGCCCATTCTGACAATCATAGTGCTCTGGCCCCAAGTAAATCAAAACCCCCATCTGTTAGGAAACAGATGGTCTTACTTAAACCCATCCTTTCCAGGAAAAGAGGTGCCAAGTGTCCAAGTGCATGCATAAGATTCTAGGCAGTACCCTGGTCTGGATGCTGACATCCAGCGGAGCTAAAGCAAACCAGGATCACTCCCTGGGATCCAAGGAGGGCTATTCTCCTTAGGTCCAAGGTATTTGTGCTTATCTACTGTAGGACTCCTGAGATCCCTGCCTGCCCAGCCTCTAATCTCAATGGTGAGCACATCCCCAAGCCTCTTGTGAAGCCTCTCTTTTCTCTCTCTTTAAAGGCAGCAAATAAAGACGGCAGCTCTTGTCCAACTGTGCCAAAGTCCCTCTGAGTGCTGCCCATAGGTCTCAGGACTCCACAGCCACAGAATAACAAGGGGCTAAGATTATTTGGGAAAAAGACCATCATTCCTAAATCAGCATCACATTGGTGAGATTGTTAAAGGGATATGATGGAGATGGGAGGCTCCTCAGCAGTAGACAATGTATCTCCCAGCCCATCACAATTCTGCTTCATAAGTCATATGTCAGTCATACTGTATATGGCTGTCAATAATTAATAATGATTCTGCACATATTGATATTCAAACTTCCACAGCAATCATATGGACTGCACCTTATGATCACCAGAGCAATTGGCTAAGTAGATTTTTCTTATTGTTTTCACAGGAAGAAGGGACTTGGCCAACTGCTCAAGGTCATTCAGTTTTTAAGTTCAGAAGCTGAGACAACCTCAGCTACCTTGGCTCCTGGCTCATTGACCTCCCCAGGCCACCTGATGATGTTCAGGTTACACCTGCCTCCTTATTTCTAGTCAAAAATCTAATGAAGGATGGAATAGACTCCACCACCACGTGCTACCCTCCTCCCACTGCCTTAAGCCTCTGTTATACAAAAATTCACAGGGACAGAACTGATCACCCCATAGGTTTTTTAAGCAAATGGAACCCCATCCTTCTCCATGCTCTTCAGTGGATGCTTAAACACTCCTCTGTAGCTATTCCATAGGTACTGCCCCATGATATTCCCTAAGTGAAACTTAGCCAAGATTCTCCAAGTCCCCAACAAAGCAAACATGTTTCTTACTATGAGCAAAGAGGGTGGCCAGGCAGAAAGGCAGGGGGAATGGGACAGCAGCAGAATTCCTCCTGCCCCTGAGGAGCCCACCCCCAAGTCAACTGGGACCCATACCTCCATCTCCCTCCACTCTCTGTACCTTCTCTCCCCAGTTGATTCCTTCTGAATGCATACTTTCCTAGTCTCAAAAGGAATATTTAGCTATATCAGATAGGAATTACAAAGACCAAACAAATCAAACTCTCTGAAACTATTCTTTAAGAGATGTTACATTTTGATTTAAATGCCCCATACCATATCTAAACACCCCTTCTTCTTTGATACCATAAGATGCAGCTGGGTAAGCATTCACAGAATCACCGGTGCCCAGGATGGAAAGCAGGAATACATATTGCAGAACATCAAACGCTCCCATCCTGTAGGTAAAAACTCACACCCTCAAAAATAAAAGGCCTCCCAAGATATCTGTTTGTGAGAGGCAGAACCAGGACTAGAGCTATATCTCATTAGTCCAACACAGAGGCCTGGTCACACCATACTCCAAAAGTGGTGCTGGCAGCCCTACTGCCGGCCTGTGTGGGGAGCCACAGCAAGTGGGCCAGGGGAACTCTGGCCTCAAAAGTCATCTTATCCATCATTTACTTTACATTTAAAATTGTCATAAAATTCTTTATAACTGAAAATAAGAGGATCAGGGGTATAGTTCAGTGGTAGCCACTTGCCTACCATGCCTGAGGCCCTAGGATTAATCCTCAGGACAGCAAAACAACAATAAACTCTGAAAATATGAGAGAATGTGCATGGAACTAATGTCTTAGAAATAATTTCTTTTAATTATTTAGGCTCTTGCTTCAGAGGGCTGTGAATGTGTCCCTATTTATTATAAGTGCAGATGAAATGGCAGATAAGAAGGGTTTCAGGCTGACAAATGCCACTTGTGCCAGGCATGACGGATGCCTCAGACCAGGTAGTTGTTTCATTATTCATAGCAACCTTGTAAGCTTTTCAGTACCTCAACTCGCAGTGGGGAAAAAGCAGCTTCACATCTATGAGAAGCAAGGACATGTCCCCAGTCTCAGAAAGTCAGTCAGGACCAGGTCTCCATTTCATGGGCTGATTGAGTGAATGATGCTTTCCCCAGGCAAGAGGGCAACCCTAGCTCAGCATACTCTGCACCTTCTGGAAATACTTTTTAGTACCAACCCAGGTTTCTCTTAAAGAACCTTACCTTTGTCTTGCCCATTGCTGCCAGGTGTCAAGCCATTCACAACGGCTCTAGAAGTACCAACATCACATTCTGAAAGAAGAACAAATAGCATGAGTCTTGCTACTACACTGCCCCAGTGTCCACTGAGTGCTGTGAGGCATGAGGTTCTGGAAATAGAGTCAAGAGACAAAGGGATCCTGCCCTTACAGTCCCTGGAGTGGCTCCATCCACCACCATCGCCACCCCATATGCACATACATCCCATTGGCTTTCCCAGGCCTATAAGGACCCCTTAAGGAAGCATGAAAGAGTTCTGAGAATGCTATACAAAAGCTATTTGGGAATGGGAAGTATGTGTAGGTGATAAAGACTTTCTTGCTTCCTTGCCTTTCTGACACTTAAAAACAACTTCCTAACTTCTTCATAATGGCATCTCCTGTCTGCCCACTCAAAGGCCAGCTCAGGTATACCCCTTTGCATCCAGAGTCCAGCTGGTTAGATAGCTGGGGCAGAAAGCTCACGTTCCTACATGTCCTCTCCATGAAGTGTCTTTAGATGCTGCTCCTCCTCACCACTCCAATTCTGGTCCTTGTACCAGTGTCCTAGGGATGGCATGGCTTCCTGACCACTCCCCCTGCCTCCTTTCAGTCTCTTCTCTACCCTCTTACCTGTACCCTTAGAGCATCTTCTAAACCCTCACCTAACTACAGCCCTCCCTGCATTAGAGCCACAGGAGATAGAAGAGGTAGAAACAAAATGGGCTCCTGCAGCATGATTCTCTAAGCCCTCTTCCTTTAGATATATTGTATTTCACCTTGGATTTGAAAATTAAAATTGAGGGATTTAATCTGAGAACTCAATCATGTAGAATACTATTTCCAAGGGGGAAAAATGTATTCCAAGTACCCAAAAGTATAGAAATGATTGTTTGGAATATAATTCTTTATAAGTAGGATGACCTGCATCTTAACAAATGACCACATTTAAATTAATAATTGCTATTCTTGATCATTAAAAACAAACCAACTCACCCACAAGCCCCAGGGGCCACCACCAGGGGGCAGAGGTTGAGCAACTCTCTCAGGAGTCAAGGCTCTGACCCTTGAAACCTTTCCAGCTGCATTTCCATCTTTTCTGAGTGTGTCAGAGATTCAGAGCCTGGGCCAGGAATACCCCCTCCCCTTTTCTAACCTTGGGGAAATCCTACACATCCTATGGCTCATCTTAAAGTTCATTTCCTTTGTATCAGTTGAGAATTCCCTGAGTTTTGCTCAGCTGTAGATAACACTGAGGCCTGCCCTACCCTGAAATAAATGGAGGAAGGCCAAGGAAAACAGGTGGGCAGGCAGACCCTGTCACCCTGGGACACATGGCCAGTATGCTTGTAGGAACTCATGACAGCAAAGAACCAACCAGCTACACAATAATCATAACTACTAAATTTTAAACATCTATTTGCCTGCATCTGAGGATTCAGGTTCAGCATTCTATAGTTAGCATCTCATTTTACCTCCAGGGAGAAGTTAGAAACTGCTATTCTAGAGAAAAGAAAACTAAGGCTCAGAAAGGAGGCCAGGCCTAATCCAGATCACTACCCTGGGGGGTGTACTGCCCCAGCTCACTGCTTATCTTCTTCTCCACAACTGGAATAAACATATTGGTTTCCTGGTTTGTTCCATATTCTATTTCCCTAGATGCTGGGCCTGAAGCCCAGTTCCAAACCCCAGTAGCACATCCGGCTGAGACTAAGCCACCCTACTGAGGCTCTTCACAATAAGCTTCTCAAAGGTTGAATGCCCAACATAAACCACATAGACAGGCCAGCTGGCTGCTGCTTGTGCCACCCTGAGCAGGGCTTCTACCCCTCCCCACCCAGTCCCTGGCTGTGACCCATTCATCATTGCATTCACCTGCAGAGGAAGGCTCATTCCCCTGGAGAGTCAAGTCTCCCCTGAGCCCTCATATCTGGAACAGGTGAAAGGACAGTGTCAGCGGGGAAGGCTAGAAATCTAAGAAGAAACCTAAGTTCCATTGCTCCACCATTTGTTCTTTACCCCTTCCTTGGTTGCCCTTGATCACATCATTTTGTTGCTGTTTACTCTCTCTTGGGCATCCTTGAGTTCTACGTCCAGCTCAGGCCCATGTTCTTCCTTTACCTTTTTCTCTTTCTAATTTACCATAACAACCAAACTGAAAGAAATTTTGAAAAGGTGTTTTAAAATCAACAAATTCAGCACTGCAAACTTAAGCCTCTGCTGAAGAATGTCTGATGTGTTCAGCAGCCTGTGTCTGCCTCCATCCTACCACACACTAGCTGGGTGATCCTGGACAGATTCAGTTGCCCCAGCTATATATTGGAGGTAATAAACCAAGCCCTCCTTTGGGATTTCCAGGAGAATGAAACAAGATCATGGAAGTAAAGCATTTTTCTCAGTGACTGCCAGCCCAGTCAAAACCTGAAATTAAAAGGAATACATTATTTTCATGCTGCAATTTCCATAAATGATGCAAGCAATTGTTTTCTTCATAGTTCCTGTCTTCCCAATGATCATTTTTAATACTGGCATAATATTCTACCAAGTAACTACAGTGCACTTACTCATTCTTCATCTTCATGGGGTAATGTTTTTGTTTCCTTCAAATTAGGCTAGAAATTCCAAAGGTGGAGGTCAATGGAGTCAGCATTTTGGAAGGCTCCTTCTAGAACCTCACCTAAGAGACACCCTGGGAAGTCCCCTGGGTACTACCACACCCTCACCCTTCTTCCAGGCCCTCCCTTCTTCCTTCTCTTACAAATGCCCTTCGGAGCAATAACATCTTAGCCTAATCCTGATAATGGTAGAGCAAGAAACTTTAGGCTGTAGGGAAAAAGTTAAAAAGGAAGTAAATAAATAAAAAGACCCAAGCCTATTTTAAATAACAAAAGCCAAAAGGCAAATAAACAGCAAAAAATTAGTTTACAAAGCAGCATTGAAGTCTACTCCTAGCCTATAGCAAACACACTAAGGAATCGGGGACAAGCCAAGTTCCTCTTTATGCAAGGAGGAATTCTGGGCTGATTAACAGCTACAACCCCAGGGATGGAGCACTCACCATGCCTTGGGCACGGCACTCAGTGCTTTAAGAGAATTGCCTCACTCAAGCCTCACAAAATTCCAACAGGCAGGCACTTCCACTACATTCATTTTACAGAGGTGAATTCAGAGAAGCGTCTACCATAGGCCCACAGCCATACAGGAAATATATGATGAAGCCAGGCCATGGCTCTGAGCTGCTCTACACAGAACCCTCCCAGCCCTACCACAAAGGGTCCTGTGCAACCCAGGATTGGCCAAAAGAGCACTGCAGGTAAATAAGCAGAAAAGGTTGTCTTTAATGTACAGAGTTCTCTGATAATATGCTTGAAATAATGCAGTATTCAAAACTCTGAATGAGATATGCACATGCTCTATTCCCACACTGGCCCAGCTGGCCCACCCGGAGGTCCCAGAACATTCCAGGGCAGGCTCAGTAGCCAAAATGGGCCTTAATCTCCAGATGGAAACTTCTCTACCTCCAATTCTTGGCTAGAATACTGACAATTAGCTGTATAATGAGCAGGGATCCTGTTGCATTATCTCTTTCCTGCCCCCTGCTCTCCACTCCAACCCAACACAAAATACTCAAAAGGAGTCATTTGTTGGGGTCTTGATTGTTATTACTCAAAGGTATAGCAAAAGGGTGAGTAAAGTGTTCTACCAGCCAGGATGAAGTGCTACATTAGTTCTCATCTTGGGGCACTTATGATCAACCTGTATACTTTTGCTGCTGTCACTCTAAGAAGTGCCACCAAGGTGTGTACATGTTTAAATTTATCAAATTGCATATTTAAAATATCTGTAGCTTATTATATGCCAATTACATCTCATTAAAAGGAAAAGAGGCTATTGTAAAGATTAGAACATAGTGCAAACAAAGTGTACATAGTACAGTTCTTGACAGATAGTAGGAGTCAGGTAAATGAGCCGAAAACCAAGACCAGACCAGAACCACAACAAGCCTTTATTGTAGGGACGATTTGCGAGACTGTCTCCAAACAAAGAAGACAGCAATATGCCCGGGACAGGGAGTGCTTCTTAGAGGAGCTGGGGTGGGGTTTGTAGGAGCAGGGGTGGGGTTGGGTGATGTAGTGGCTAGGAATTGGAGGAGCCTGTGACATCACTAGTTGCTAGGAGGTAGCACGTATCAGGTTACTCTTTTGGTGGGAAGAGGGGCATGTTGGGAAGAATGTTGTCTTTTGGCAGGTGAAGCCCTATTTTTAAGTAGGAAGCAGGGTATTATGGGAAGAAGAAGGCTGCCATTTTATGTAGCAGCCATCTTAAGGCGAGGGAAATCTAACAGTAGGTACTCAAAAAAATCATTAACAATGTAGGTGGTAATGGTGACTTAGGTCAAAGTCCTTTGGCGCTCACCAAAATGTGGGAAATTTTGGTAAAGAGGTGGTTTTATAGTTTTGCCAAGAAAGGCAGAATTTAAAATGACTTACTAGAATTCATGGTGGTAGCAGGACAAATCTTCTGCAACGGGGACTCTGAACTGCTCTGCAGAAAAACAAACCACACAATAGAATCAATGAATGGCAGGTTCAAGATAAATTCCTATGGTCAGCATTAAAAAAGTAAACACTGTAACCTTTGTTAAAAGACCCTACTGGGCATCTCTTGGTTAAACTTCTTGTTCACGCCTGCCCATGCACTTCTAGCACGTGCTCTTGGGGACATCACTAAACATCCTAGCCTCAGTTTTGTCACTCGTACTGGGTTTAGATGTTACTCCAGATCTCATCCACCTCTAATTCCACTAAACACCTCAAGTTACCTGAGCACATATGGTTTAAGAAGAGAGTAAAGGAAAGAGGAATACATATTTTAGGAGAAAGAAGACAAACTAATCATTAGAGGTTAATAATGGTAGTGAATACTCATATATAGCTAAAATACAAGGAATATTCTAAATGCTTTAAATATGTTAATTCATTTGATCCTTACAATAGGCCTATGAGGTAAACACTAATTATCATGTTAGTTCACACAGATGAGGAAACAAGGCACAAGGAGGTGAGGCAGCTTGCCTGCCTGTGTGGAGGAGTTGTTAATGGAGCCCACACAGTCTGACTCGTGGTTAAAGTTCCTTCCTGAGCACTGTGCCCCATCACCTGGAGGTGGGAACTAACCACTGATGTTCAAATGGATAACCCTGATTTAGTATTGCCTCAAACCTACATTGTACTAGCAACACCCTGGTACCTATTCAGATCTTTAAGTTATCATTTGTCCACAAAAAATGCAACCATCTAAATTATGCAATTTTATGGGTTTTGATAGATATACAGTCCTGTAACACCACTATGATCATAATATACCATATTTTCATCACCCCTAAAAAAGTTCCTCTGTGCCTCTCTATAGTCAGTCCCTGGAACCAAAGATGTGCTTTGGGATGTGTGGTGTGGTGTGGGGTGTGCATGTGCGTGTGCGTGTGTGTGTGTGTGTGTGTGTATGTGTCACTAGAGACTGAACCCAGCAACTCACATTTGCTAGGCAAGCATTCTACCATTGAGCTACATCCCCGGACTCTTTTTTTCCCTTTCATTTTGAGAAAGAGTCTTGCTAAATTTCCCAGGTTGACCTGAAACTTGGTGAATCTACTGCTTCAGCCTCTTGAATAGCTGGGATTACAGACATGTGCCACCATGCCCAGCTAGTACTGATCTGCTTTCTGTCAGTGTAGTCTTACTTTTCTAGTATTTTATATAAATGGCATATATATGCAATCTTTTGTGCCTTGCTTCTTTCATTTTCATAACTTTTTCAAAAAGCAGAGGGTATCTATCTGTACTTCTAGACTCTTATTCTGTTCAATTGAGTTGTCTTTTTTTTTTTTCTTAAATTCTTTTATTGGCACATTTTAGGTATACAATACATTTACATTTATCTTTGGGTGCTTGTACCTGTACATGATGTATCTTGGTTCTTATTTTTTCCCCATTTCCTGTGTGCCCTTCACCCCTAAACCCTTCCCTATTTACGTATTTCGTTTCCATTTTTTTTTTTCTTTTCTCATAATCTTTCCTTTCCATTCTTTCCTTTCCCCTTCCCCTCCCACCACCCCTACCCCTTTGGACCTTTTCCAATTTCAAAGTATCATTTATTAGTTATTAATCCTTTTAGTCCTTATTTATACTCTCAGTTTCTCACACTAGAAAAACTATTTGGTATTTACACATGTGTGTCTTATTTATTTCACTTAAGAGTATGGCCTCAATATGCATCCATTTAGCTATAAATGACTCTAGTTTCTCGTTCTTTATGGCTGAGTAATACTCCAGTGTGGAGATACCTCAAAGAACTAGGGCTGGAGGTCCCATTTGACCCAGCTATTTCCCTGCTGGGTATTTTCCCAAAAGAATTAAAAGAAACATACCACAGGGATATATGTGTACCCATGTTAATTGCGGCACAATTGAGTTGTCTTTACTCAGTAACTCAGTGATTTGATTTCTACAGCTTTATATCTTTTTTGGGGGGGTACCGGGAATCAAACTCGGGTCCTTGCTCTACAGCTTTGTATCTTAAAATTGGGTAGTACAAGTCTTCCAACTTCATTCTTATCAAAAATCATTTTGACTATTTTAGGTCATTTGCATTTTTATGTGAAGTTTAAAACTGTTTTATCAATTTCTAACAACAACAACAACAACAAAAACCTGTTAGAATTGTGAATGGGATTTTGTTGACTGTATAGATTAATCTAAGGAAAACCAATATTTTAACAGTATCAAGTCTTCCAGTTCATGAGTATGGCCTATCTCTCCCTTTGTCCAAGTCTTTAATTTCTTTCCACAATCTTTCATATTAAGAAAAGTACAGATCTTGCACATACTTTGGATAATGAGATCTTACAGGACACATCTGTAGGCTACACAGCTAGAAATATGCAGAACTTTGATATTGAAATGTAGTCCAAAGACTACATTGGCATTAGTGGAGACTTATTAAAGATGCAGAAACTCAGACTCCATACCTACTGAGACAAAATCTGCACTTTAACAAGATCCCAGGTGGTCCCTTTGCCCTTGAAAGTACGCAAACCAAGGGTGCAGAGGAAATCACTGGTTCATGATTTCTGTAATAGGCATGTCAAGATAGGGTATGAAAATCTGCATAAGAAAACATGCTTTAGTTTTCTTTTTTTCACAAGTTGGTTTAAGGCACTGGTTTCCTTTCTGGGTTGCTCTGTTTACTATCATTCTTGGATTTGACAGAGTAGAATGGTAGAGATGAAAAGAAAATCATTCTAAGTCCTTCTCTGCAGCCCAAATCAGCAGCAGCTTTGCCTTTATTACTGTCAAATACACCTGAGACTATCCATAACCTTCAATCACACCCTCAGATTATTCTCTAAGCTGTGAAAACATTTGTACTTTCAGTCCAAGAACATACAACCTACTGTGTTCTGTATACCCTTGTGGTTTCTAATCCTACTTTATGAGACCTCCCAGGACTAAAAGCACTGCTGTGATACCATCAGCCAATGTTTTATTTTAAGAATAATTGTATTAACTGGGCCTGGTGTCACAGGCCTGTAATCACAACACTCTGGGAGGCTGAGACAAGAGGATCAAAAGTTTGAGCCCAATCAGGGCAACTTTGTGAGATGCTGTCTCAAAAAAAAAATTCTTTTTTTTTTAACTTAAAAAATGGGCTGGAGATGTAGCTCAGCAGGAAGGCCCTCAGTTCAATTCTCAATACTGAAAAAAAAATCTGTTTTAATACGTCAGTTTTTATTACTCAATTTTTAAACCATAACCAAAGAAATCTTTTGATTCAACTGTGAAGTTATCTTAACAGAAACCTTTTATTCCTTACATAGTTGTAAACACATCTGGATAGATTTGTTTCTTAATTTTTTAAATATCTGCTTCATAAACATTTTTCAAGGTTTCTACTGTTAGTATAGCTATCACTTTAATGGCTATATACTATTTCATTGTAATAACATTGTATAATCCATTTACCAATTATCTCTGTAGAGTTTAATTTAGCTTCATTTAAAAAAAATATAAGCACAAAGCACACAGCAACTTAGGCTGGGAAGGAATGAACAGAAATAATGGGGATTATCTTATGAACCAAACAAAATGGAAGCTTCAATTCACTCATGATAAATAATCACTGACATATATGACTAACCCTTTGCACATTTTATACTTCTCAATACTGAAACTACTTACTTCTGTCAGCCGACTCTAACTTGCAAACTGATCTAAAGTACACATGGTCAGTAACAATATTCAAAATATTCAACCATTATTTTGCCATAAATGTCCACCAAATTGAGTAGAAGACTGTAGGCACAGCACTCTCTAGAGGGCCTTTCCCTGTGGCTGTTATTAATTGCTCAGTGGCTGGATGGTGAAAGCAGGAAAATGGGTCCAGAGAGGTAGCAAGCTATTTCAATATTTTTAAAACTAGCATGACACTAGTAGATTACAATGACAACACATAGATGAGCACCAGCTCGGCACAGAAAGAACTTTTAGAGCCAGGCATAGTGTTGCATTCCTATAATTTTAGGTACTTGAGAAGCTAAAGCAGGAGCATCTCAAGTTTGAGGACACCATGGACAACTTACCAGAACCTTGTTTCAAAATTTTAAAAAACAAAGGGCTGGGGATTTAGCACAGTGGTAGAGTGCTTGCTTGGCAAGTGCAAGACCATGGATTCAATCCCCAGGAACAACAATAACAAAAAAGAACTTTTTAGCTACAGTAGTAGGTGTATGCAATCCTCTTGGTGACTAAAAATACGTGTGATTCAAAGAATCAGAGGGGAATTTAAAACAAAAAATCTATAGCAAGGGCAGCAGTGGCAGGTGCAACAAGGACAGGTACCCAGGGTCTGGTCCAATCCTCACTGCAATAGCATTAAGATCCTATTAGACTATCCCAGGGCTTGATTCTGACTCTGATTCCAACCAACTCAGCCTTCTTGAATTCCTACCCTAGTCCTACCCTAACTGCATGAATTTCCCAAGATCTTGCCAATAAATCCCTTGTCATTTGAAGTTCGCAGAGGTGGGTTTTTGTTATCTGCATTCCAAGAACCTTGACCAGTACAAGCTGGGAAGGACAGTTTTCAAAGGTTTCATCTGAAAAGGAGTTTCTTCATTCCTCTCTGCTGAAGTAAGGCTGGCCTAATCTGAATCCCAAGTGATTCAGCAATGGTTTTAACTCTGTCACCTAAAGAGCTCACAGTCAAGGCATGAGATACATTCAGAAGGCTGCACAAATCAAGCCCTGACCAGAACACTGAAAGCTCTGAAGGCTTAATTTGGTCCCTACTGCTTCTTCAGAGATAGAACAGGACATTACAATAAGATGTCAAACTAAGAATTTTAAAATCCAAGCTGCAAAGAGCTTGATTTGGTTGAGTACTGTATATGATACCACATCGATGATTCAAGCATCTAGAAATCCTCCCCAAAGAGGCCAGGCACCTTTGAGTAAAAGTCAAAGAGAACAGCGCCATCTAGTGGCAAA